TTTCGTTGAATGTAAATTTGTGTTCATAATTCACCATATAAGAAATGCTATGTTTGATCTTAAATAATTTTGAGCAACATTATAAAGAATCATAGATTTCTGAAATCTTGGAAATCGATCTGACTTAACTTTTATTCAGAAAAAATGTGTGGTTTTCTTGTGATCGATGGTCAAAGTTCTTCAAAAAAATTGTGTTTATCGAAACATCGGGGGTTTATCCGCTTGGGGAAAGTGAGGAATTCTTGAGTGTATTGCTACAAAAATTACGAGATGTTTTTATTTGGCAGCCAGAATCGAGTCTTTTTGTTGGAGTTGATGCACTAATCATTTCTAGACATTTTTGAGCTTTTTATAAAATCTTGTAGGTAACATTCACAGTTTAAGCCCAAAAACCATATTTCTGAGTTCATGTTTAACTAACAATTTTAGACATTGTTTGCCTAGATGAATTTTGATGAAACTTGCTGAAGATTTGTTCGTACGTGAAGATCATATTTTGATAAACTACCACACTCAGCTAAAAAGCTCCTCTTTTGATGGATTTCTGAGGAACACAATTCGTACGAAAACGCTTCCAAAGTCAGTCATGTCGTATTTATAAAAGGATTGACATTTAATTTATTATAAAAGAACAATTTCCGTTTTTTCGACATTTGCAGTTAATGTCTGAAATTGTTAAATAGCACGGAAACAGAAATATTTTTTGCATAAAAGCTATGAATTCTTCAAGAATATACAAAGGCACAAAAATATCACAAAAGAAATTGTGCATCAACTCGAAAACAAAATAGTTGATTTCAGCACCGAAATAAAAAGTTCTGGTGGTTTCTGTACCGAGAAACTGAAATATTCACAACTTGGCCAAAGCTATGAACTCGGTTGCTTGATAAAAATATGAGTTTTACAGCCATCACCACAAATATACAGTGAGTTTCATTAAAATGCATCGTGTCATTCTGCCGATATTTCAAAAAATGTATTATCATACTTTTTAAGAACTTCTATCATCAATAGCAAAGAAGCCAGATATTTTTCCTAATAAAAGTTAGGTCAGATCGTGCTCTCTTGAGCCAAATAATGTCCCAGTACCCTTTCGATCATGTGCTTACGGGATACCCTTTATATGCATACAGCTTTTCATCCATTTTCAGTTTATTTATCAATTTTCTAGACAATTCAACATTGTTGCACCTCATAATTGAGATTTAAATTATAGCTATTCCTTTGAAAACGCTACTATTACTTATTAGTTATTTACTTCAATATATTTCATGTATCATCAAAAGACAAATTCGGTCAATGATATTCGGCTCGAATGTCTTCAATTGAGACAAAGGCGCATTATTATCGATAACGATTCCAAAACCTAGTAAATTCTGTATTTTTCCTTCGTTAATATAAAAGATTATCCTCGCTCACTCAATTCAAGCAACTAATCGAAACGAATTAATCCGGGAACGGTGTTCAAAACTTCAGCAAAAAAAGTAACATTTAATTGTAATTTATACGTCGGAAACGCAGCGCCGTATAATCTATTTTCAGCTACTTGTTCTGAGTAATTGTAACGAAATGTTCCAGCCTTGAGAGAAGATGGCAAAAATCAATGGCAGTGACAATTTTTTGCGGTTGAGATAGTTTTTCCGTTACCACTGTATCAACCAGAAACGCAATGATTAAGTTTTATTAGCTGCGCCACATTTTTATGGCTCTGTTTTTTCTGCTACTGTTGACCAGTTGAAAAACACAGTAAAGCAAATCATGAAGGACAAAATGTTTTAAATCGGGATCATTTTCTAACTAGATCAGCTTTTGCACCGCGAAACAATCAATATAAATCAATATCTGATATAAGCTACTGAAATAATTTTGCCCACTATTTCTGTACGCCACTTAGAAATAAGGCAGACAGGTTTTCACATTATCTAACAAATAGTAATTCACCTACTTTGCATTTTATTTTTGGTGCGGGTACCTACATGTAAACTACTTTTACCAGAAAGAATTTCGAGAATTCATGCGACAATAAGTTCAATAAATTTCGCTTATCGTGACTTTCCTATATTACGAAGTATTGCCGATATCTATGTGGGCCTACTTGTATTGTTTAGCATATACAGCTGTCGTTTCAATAATTAATATTTTGTTAATGTCCAAACGGTTGTTTTTGTTCAGATAGTTTGAAACGGTATATTACTCACAGTTATGCCAATTATCACTTATAATCTAACATTGGAAAGGCAGGTTGTTAACGAATATCTAAATTACCAGCTTAGCTAAAGGCCTTTGGTGGGCCTTAGTGGAGGTACTAGCTTGGTACTAAATTTTACCACTTAGTAGCTTTACTTTTATAGTAACTATTTAAGCTTTAATTTTCAATTTTGATGAACAAAATTACTGAAAATATACTCAAATTGGGTTCAATGCAGAAAGTTGTTTGTGCTCATGTTTTGTATCATTATTACATGACATTGGCTACTCTTGTAATTATACTCACCTACATACAATTGAGAAAGTAATTAAATTACATCTACCATTAGGTCATTATGTACTAATAAACTATCATTAAGTAATAATGTGTTATTGATTGACATAACTTTAACCAGTGCAATATTTTATATCCAATCAGTTGCTACAATTTTTGCGAAATATCAAAGGGTTTCTGGTTCATTTCAAATGTATTATACCAGCTACCGTTGATAACGAGGTTATATAGGAAATAATATCTTAATCGCTCATATTATTTCCTTTGGTTTATATTTACCTAATAGGCTATACGGGTATCAGATGCGTCGTTATGAACATTAACTGATTATTATTCTTTAAAACACGAATAACGACTTGCAACAATACAATGCGGGAAATATCAATCTACACAACATGCACAGTTATACGATTACGATGTTCTTCACCCTATTATAATTTTATGGAGATTTGAGATGGTAATAAACTTTTAATATAACCGAAGTTGATCGTTAAATATCAAACTCTTAAACTTCCCAATAGCCCAATAAAACACAACGAAGACAGTATATAAGGACAAATAAAACCATAAGAAATAATGTAGGAAGCATAAATAATCCAAAATTTTGTGATATGCTTCACATATTTGTCCCGAATTTTATATTAACATAAATTGCATTTCCATATATGAAATTATGCATGAAAAAAATCAAAATCGGACCTAAATTTAACAAAATTAAAAGACAATTGATAATCGCTACTTCATTTCCTTGAAATTAACTAATAACAGAGACCCCACCTGTGCGAGCAAGAAAAAGTTTTCTGATAAAGCCTGCTTACTCATCAATAATAATATAGAAGGATCTTTATAATAGCATCTAACCTACCATGCAAATACTGCTCATACCTTGTGATTTTAATATTGCTTTGAGTATCCGATTGGAGAAGAAGAGAGCAGTAGTATTATTATTTAATTATCTTGTGAAGGACTTGACTTTATCGAGTAACTCAATCAGTTGATTAGAATGTTAATTTGGCGTTGAGAAAAATATAATAAAGCGTGAATTATAATTAAAATCTTAAAAGTCCTTGAAAGTACAAGATAATAATACATCCATTGATAGAAAAGTCGTTAAAAACTTTATGGTGAAAATAAACTTTCAAAGCTGTTCAATTCACTGGACTTGTTGGAAAGCCTGCTTGCAAAACAACAAAAATCACACTAATTAAACTTGGATTATGCATTTCTGAACCTGTACTTTAATAACTTATGTTTTCCACATTTGTATCCAACGTGCATTTTCAGATACACGTGACAAAAAGCCTCATCCCATTTAAGAAGAGCATGTAATGATTTTAAAATGATGACATTTAAACATAAATTAAAGTTCATCCCACATTATGCGATGGCTGAAAAGAGCAACTCTCGTTTACCTAATCCGATCTGCACGCATTTGACAACTATTGTAATATTTAGTAAATATGAGATTTCGTTGTGCAAATGTCAATCGACTTTTAACATCCAGTGAGGAAGGTTTCAGATGAGTCAAATACGGTATAAACTATAGTTCAGAAGGCCATCGGCAAGATTATTAAAGTAGAAAATATTTCTTCATTTTTAAAAACCGCAGGAATTTCTATTTTATAGTTTCCAAAATTACATATACATAAATAAAAAATGTACAGGCAAATTTAACTGATTAGATATCTGATTCTAATATTCAGATAGTCTATGCTAAGACGTTTTCTGAAAATAAAGATCAAATGTAGGCAAATAAACATGTTTCTAATTGCGACAACAAATAGCTACAGCCTAAGTTTTCAAACGCTGGAAGTAGTACCATTCGATTGCCTGGCCATACTTGGTCAACTTCATCTTTCGCTCATTGAACAGATTTAAATTAGCAAATTTCTATGCTTTCTACATTCAAAGCAAAAATCACCTGTAGATTCATATTTTTTAATTTATAGACATCGACCTGAGCAGTGCGTACTTATTATCGGACATCAATATTTAAAACACATTTAGAAATTGTTCCTTTATGGCGGCATTTCCTTTTCGAATACTTGCCTAGTTGCGACTGGTAACCGACATTTCTTCACGGTGTGTTTAAAGCAGTTAGTTTGAGCATTAAGTTTTATCAACAAGCAATTGCGTGCTATTATAAATGTTGCAATTTTTTCAAACACCTGTTATTAGTTAAAAAGTTACTTTCACAATGGATTTTGGAGTAAGTTAATTATTTGCTTTATTAGTGTACTTTTCAGAGTGAAACATTATCAAGTAAATTGTTTTACTTTTGTAGTACTTTTACTATTGTTTACAGTTACCGCAAATAAATATATTAAATGTAAACAATGGTTATGATAACTCAACTGAGAACAAGCTGAAACGATTTTTAAAAACGTTTATTTGCTTATGAAGACTGAAAAATAAAGATAAAACAAGTAAAGAGGTTTGTTTCGGGCAACGAACAAAATGGTTTCTTGATTTTCATAATATCCTAATTTTTATTATTTGATTTTTTTGATCTTTTCAGGAGTTCTTAGCTGCAGTACGTGGTGGTAAAGGAGATATTCGATCTGTTTTAAGATCATCTGAAGCGGGCAGAGCCTTAATATCTACAGGTAATTCCGTAGTTTTTGTTCAATTTAACTCGCTGTTTCTGGATATTTTCAATTTAAATTTAATCAAAAAATTTGGAAAACCTTCATTACCGAAGTGTTCAAAAAAGTTTCTTTTCTTAGGTCCAAGAATAATTAGGGATACCTCCAAAAGCAAGAAAGTAACAGACACTGAAGATACAAGAGAACTGAGCTCGGTCCTTCGAGATGGCAAAATAGTCACTGAAACTCAAAGGACCACCGAACATGAAGAAGTAAATGACGACGAACTTCCAAATGATGGTCCTGATCAAGACTATCGCAAGGAAAGTTCACAAAGGTAAGTTTTGTATCAAAATTTCCATTTATAGTTAATAAGCACAATTTTCTACTTTAGGCGAGAAGGAAACTGAAGAACCCATTATTTTTGTCATCTAGGCAATATTAAAGAATTCACCTTTTCTCCTTAAATCTAGGTCTAAAAGACAAGTAACAAATACGCTAATGTATTCATGCCAATATCACTTTCATCAACATCCTTAACCAGATTCGATTTTAGGACAGGTTATTTTAATTTGTGAGTCATCGTGTTCTAAACCTACATTATCTACAAATTGTAGATCTTAGACAAATTTAATTATAATACACATTTTACGTTTTTATAGTTTTAGCTGAAACAACAATTTTAGCTACCATAAATCTAGATTATAAGAACTTTTCGGATTTATAGGTATCTGAAAACCAGAGAGCAAGAAGACGTGGACTATGTGGCAAATGGAAAAAACGTGGGACATGAAATGAAGTATAAAACGGAAACAATGGAAGTAGATAAGCGTGGTGACGATGAGGTTGACTTGTTCGAATCTCTATCAACTAGAGCTCGACGAAGACTGCAACAAAACAACCGTCAACCTCACAGATACAGAGGTACGAATGCATTTTTTTTTGCTGTTGTTTGTTGTAATTAATTGCACTTCAATTAACTCACCTAGTAAGGATCGGCGAAAACTTGACTAATAAATAATTTAAATACCGTTTTAAAGCACCAATGTAGAGGAAATATGCGTAGTGTTTTAACAAAGTTGAAGGAGTGTTCTTGAAGCCAATTCAGAAGATCATCGTAATTACGGTTTCGACATTTACCGAAATGAATCACTGCGCTTTAAGAAAATGATCTCGTAATGTTTGTATTAAGCAAGCTGTGTCGCATGCACACCAAATACAAGCTAAATCAATTATGATACTTTTACTTCCATTAAGATCCCGAGATAACTGACGCAATTATAATTAGCTTCTCCTCTTTACTCCTTTGAACTAGTCTTTTTCAATGCCAATGGACACCAATTGTCCGAAATTTCAATATTTAAATAATTGTGGTTTTTGTACCTGTGTGCTAACTGTTATGAATTTTAACATGTTCATCTTTTTTTTTATTCTTTGCATGAACGCCCGTATGTAGAACACCAAATATTTTAATTTTTATATGAACAGCATTGTTTTATTAGATAAATCACGTCAATAGACACATTTTTAGTAGTCACACCAGATTAATATGAATTTGGCGCGATGTTGCTCAATGTGGTTAAAATTGTCTAGCATCTGAGAAGGCCTATAATAACCTCGCAATCTTATGTAATCTAATATGATTTAACAAACAATGTAAATAGCATTACAATCATTTGTTGGCGCTTCAGGTGGGTACCGTTGACCTTTCAGAAATGTTAAAGCAGGCTTTTCCAAAAAATTTCCAAGGATCATTTGCAAGTCACGTGAGAAAAACTATCATTCACCAAATACAAGGCAAACAGTTACACAAGCTTTTAGGAAACACTTTCAATGCTTAATTAAGTTTAAATGTATTTCTCGCATTAGTGTAAATCGACTATTCAACCGTGTCGAATACCGGCGGAATATTCGTCGGGAAAGCTGCGCTTCAGAAGATTGAAAAATGCTTTCAATTTTCCTTTTAGGACTTGAAAACGGGGCACAAAATCCCATAGACCGCAAAGATGCGTTAACGCGTCGACCGCTTGACTTTGACGCTGAAGAGGAGACCAGAAAGCATGAAACTTCTAAGTGGCTCGAACATCATTTTGGCTCGGAGTCAAGATCATCAAACTCAACGTTGGACGATGAGGAACAGCCCCCGAAAACTAGTTTCTTTAACGTCACTATTAAAAGTCAGCCCAGTAGAAATGAAAACTTGCAACGAAATTATGTTGGAACCGTGAATAATTCCACATCGCGGGTTTATAGTCCAGTCGAACCGGAACGGGATAGAAATCATTCAGGCTATTACAAAGGTAATTGGTTAAAATTACTTGTCGCTTTTCTTCTCTAGCTCTAAAGTATCACTCTGTATGCATGCTGTAGCTAATTAATGAGTTTGCTAAACTCAATAAGAATTGCCAATTCCGAATGTTGCTTTGTTAACTTAATTTTTAATCCGCTTAAGCAGTGAATGATGGTTACCTACGGCAGTTTCATTAAAAGTTTGTCAACTTGAGATTAAAAGGAATTTACCAAAATGCAAAATCACTCCTATCGGCCTATCTCATACGGCGATATTTTCATCAAAAGTATTAGTTTGATCTGGTTGTACGCTAATTTATTGTTAGGAGCTGCTTACTAAAAGCTTAACTGCACCGTACTAACAGAAGATAAATTTGCATAACTTTCTACTATGTTTAAATTTGAACCAAGAGGAGATGTTTTCTGAATATATAAATTGAAATTCGATGCAACTGAATTTTACCTTGATTTGGCTGATCGCTTTCTAAGACAATATCAATAGAGAAAAAACGTAAAGCGATTTAACTAAAATCCACATATTTTTACACATAGTCGCTAAATCATATTTTACTTCAAGAAATCAATCTCCTATGATCAGAACACTGATAAACGTAATAAAATTGTAAATTAATGAAAAAAATGAAATTATTCTGGAGTTTTTATTCCTATTTACTTTTTAACTTCTTCATGTGACTCTAAAAGTGTTTATATTGAAAATGTAAATGTTTTCATTTTAGGAGTCTCAGATTGGTCCGAACGTCGTCAAGAACAGCATCTTTACAGTTCGCAAAGACAATCACCACTGCCCTATCAACAATCACCACATCACCGGCAATCGCCTATGCAATATCACATAGATCGACCTTCCCGATCACCTATTCCGGATTATATTCGACCACAACATTCTCCAACTCCAGATTATCACCCACAACATTCACCAGTGCCAGATTACAGAAACGGACATTCGCCTAGTCCCGACTATGGAAGGCCCATCAAAATATCGCCATCGCCTATTAGGTACTAACGGCCTTAATAACCTGATATTTTATTACTAAATTGCGTGAATTTCAGAGACATTGATGATTCTCCGACTCCGCCTCAAAGGAAAAAAGGAATAGAACGCAGAGAAAAATACATAGAAAAGTCTGATAGACGCACTCGTTATGATAGCGGATATCGATCAACTGGAAGGATCGATGATACAAGGTATGTTACCCGCTAATAATTAATCCCAACATTTTTCCTAGATATCTACGCAAATATGTTTCGTAAAATGCAATTTGGTTCGCAAAAGCGTATGTGTAAAGTCCAGTGTTTTCACTTACATTTTATCTTTGCAGAGATGATAGAATTGATCGCATTGAAGAACCGCCTCCAGATTATTCGCCACCAAGTCCACCGCCGATGCCACGGGATGAGAAGAAACATTATCAGAAGACACGTTTTGCCGCCGATGTGACTCCTAAAGCAAAAAGCGGAAACATTATTGGTAAGCTAATAAAATTGTGATTTCTTTTAATCTAAATCTAAAGATATCTTGCGCTTCTCAAGAATTATTAAAAATTCAGTTTTATTAATAAACAAGTTGGGACTCATTTCATTCTCGTATGATCTAAAGTTGGACCTAAAATATCGATACTTTCCAGCAAGTGAACAAACCTCGATATTAATACTTGATTTTCTTAAAACAATTTGGTTGCAAGTAAAATTGTTACATTTTTCGTAGCAAACTAATAGATTCGATTTGCAAACGCATTTCTCATAGCAATTTCAGCTTCCGTTTAGAGAGGCATATTGGTGTTGTAACGCATCATTTTAACAATTCTCAGTTTTACTTGAACAGTGCCAGTTGAAGTAAAATTGAGCTTTTTTCCAAAACAGTAGTTTGATAAAGGGAACAATATAAAATAATTGAACAAGAAATGAACTTTTGTTGCAATAATTTGTTGGTGCTACAAGTATCATTAGGATATGCTAAAGTATATAATATATCATTAGGATATGTAAGTTCAGTTGACCATTAGGATATGCTAAAGTATATATTTCTCAAAAGTCTAAGGATCATCTTATTATATCAATCAATTTATTATTTGATTTAACAAACGAATTCTTATTTTATTTTCACTCAAAATTTCTTTAAGTAAGGTCGTTAAAGTAACTAAGTTTGTTCAGAAATATTCTATGCGGCATTTAAATATGGTATATGTATTGTAATATAATTATTATCCAAATGAGATATACATGAAGAATGGAATGCGGATGTTATTAACATAGACTTGAATACCCTGAAGGAAGACGACATTCCGAAACTATTATTCATAGTGTAAGACTTGAGTACTGGATTGAAACATAGACTAGAGAGTATTACACTTTCTATTATTTATTGCTCATAAAAATGTTATGTAGGGAGTATCTAAGCATATTCAAGACAAACAAACTAAAAATAAATTGACCTATAAGTTTGTCAGTCGCGTTTTTAATGTTTCCACAATTTTGTTAACGGTTTTATGACTTATATATAAAGTTTTCAAAAGAATTTACACTAGAAGCGTTAATAACACGATTGTTCTACGAAAAACAACAACGAACAAAAAAGTCCTCCAAATTGAAGAAGTATTAGATAGCGAAAAAAAACTGTAGAAGTTAAGTCTCGAAAAGTCTTTTATTTATTGAACATTTAAACTGAGACACAACTAAATTCCATGTACTTTCACAAGAAAATAAAGTTTAACAATTTTTTAAATCAGCGCCAACGCTGAAGTTGAGTACGATGCGAAGAACGATTGAAGTATTATGCAAAACATCTCTATTTCATCGATAGAATTAGTTGCCTTAAAAAACCCAGGTGAAAACTTTTCAACACACGTAAATGACCATTAATTTACGCATATAAATAAAGCGACAGGTTTTTTACACACCGGACATCTAACTTTCAAAGTTACAGTGTCGCAAAACTAATTTGCATACCAACATTGCTGGTATTGAATGCGGATGATGTACATGAAACCAACTATATTCCATCTGATGTTGTTTGTAAATGACGCAGGAGGAAAACGGTTTTTAAAAGTCCTAAATTAAGTGTCCTTGGAATTTTACTAATTTAATCACTACTAAAACTAAATACGGCAATTCTAATACGTTATATTCCATTAACAAAATTTTAATTCATGAAACCGATTGATTTGCACCAGAAATAAAACGACTTTTCACTGAAATTCGCTACTAAAGGAGCAGCAGCATCGACACATTTTGTCAATAAATCTGAACAAACTACTTCGTCGGTCTCATTCATTTTGTGATAGCAAACGCAATAAAATTCTGAAGGAACAAATTCTACACGTGAAAAAATCGGCAAATTTTTTAAACATCTTGATTTTTCTTGCAGGCCAGTCCATTCGCAAGCTAGTCAACAAAATCCGGTCTGCTAGTGCTGAGCGCAAAGCTAAACAGCAAAGGGCGCGAAGATCACCAAGTCCTTCTTACCAACAAGGACACGTGATTGATAACAATATTGGTAATTCCATGGATAGGCAGCCAGTTCAAAGGTAAGTTCATAGCTCGATTGTTATATGCGCAATAAAAATAACATATGTTGACGACTAATAGTTAATGCGTATTGGTTGAAAATGTTTAAAACAATTAAGAAGCTATGGAAGAAATATAAACAAACTAAAATATGTTCAATTCAAAATATATGCCTTTCAATGTATTTACTCCCTTTAGATATTATCTGGGCGAAGATCCATTTGGTGGAAGCATTTATGGGCGAGAGAATAAATACGATGGGGTCAAGCCTGCTAGGAATTCTAGGAGACCTAGAGATGATGATCGTGATAGAAGGTAGGAGCATATTAATAATCTTTAACAGTAGTTCTAGTTTAAAACATTACCCGTAACTTTAATATATCGTAAATTTATTGGAGCTGCTGATGAGCTTTAAAGATGTACATACACAATGTAACTAATGTAAAAAGTAAAAAGTTTGAATTAACGTTTATAGTAAAAAATATATGTTTGGAAAGGGATAAAGGAAACAAAGTGCTTAAATTTTAGCAAAATTACTTTGATTAAAAAAATGTATTGTTTTTATATTTGATACATTTTAGTGCATTTTTAATAGAAGCTTGATTCTAAACGAAAAAGTTTACAAACAGCAAATGTTTGGCAAAATGTTTCAACCACTTTGAACGGCTTTTTATGTCGAAACATCAAATCTCCATTACTAAATTTACTTGAATTTTTCATAACCTACCTTAATATAAAGTGAAATCACCTTAAAAAATCATTGAATATATTTTTTCAATAATAAGTCATATCGCAACGTGGGCGGAAATGTTTACTTGCTACGTAATTACCAATTGTTTACCAGGAAAACAACATGTAGATTACGAAAAGGTTTTCTTTTAAGTTTAGCGCTTATGGAATAATGTAGGACGTAGGTTTCTTAACAATACCTGCCATAAACCTGACTGAAAAAATTACCGCAACATGTACATTTGCGAAAACTGTTTTTGAAGATTCTAAAAATGTGGAAGCTGATACTCAATGTCACCTCGTTCCGTAAAAATACCTTGACCTCGAGTCTCATGTGATTTTAGCCATATTTAGCTAAAACTATTATTCTTCGGAATTGTAAAGACCAAGGTCTGTTTCTACATACATTGCGGAAACGCGTTTAACAACTAGCCACTAGCCTTTAAAATTATTAACGTGTTAGCTTTAGTGAGTATTTGTATTTTGATTATATAAAGTCGTAACATGTGATAACATATATTTGTCGAAATATTTCTAACCAAATACCAAAATAATACCCAAAGTTATGTAAAATTAGTGCATTCGAATAAAAAACTTTAAGTAGAAATCAGCTTTTCATTCAAACCCTGAACTTATATCTTTATAACTAATACAGTCGGAGACGAAGTTTCTATAGAAGCTGTCTTTAAAGCTATTATTGACACATTCACTCTAAATTTTCGTTCAAGTGTAAAATTGAAAGGATAACTATAAAAGATTATAGAGGAATTTCAACATATAATTTAAATACTTTTGGCGCATCAAAACAGCATAGCAGGTAAATAAATATATTTAGTAATTTTGTCACTAAACGAACTTAAAATCGACTAACAAAAGTTAATGTAATGTAAGATGGGGCTATGAAAAATAATCCGATGATATCTTTTGTTTGAAATTCGAATGCAATCAGATGATTTTTTGACAAAGATTTTTTTATTTTTTCAAGCTCTGTCTCAATCTTTGCACTTTGAACATTAGCACTAAAATCTTCAACCTTTCTAGCTGATGAATAAAAGATTGTTAATAAATGATCAATACATATTTAACCCACTCTGTAATCACGTCATCAATATAGTGGCCAACTTTTACCTACTTTTTTAGAGAATTTTACGTAGTAATAATAATACAATGTGGGCTAAACATTCTGCTCTCCTTTTTTGTCACAACAGACATAATTAATTTGCATTCGGAGTTTTCGCAAAATTGACCCAATACAAAAGTTCAAAACAACATTGTTGTAACATCAATAATCAGACTAATCCAGTTAAATACGTATTTCAGGCCAAAAACTATACATTTCCTGATAAACAAAAATATTTTTAAAAGTTTATCATTATTGCAATTAAGACTTTTATAAATAACGGACGTCACTTTGTATTTACACATTTAGCGTTTCATTGCAAATCCTATTTACTTTTTCATTTCCGCCCACATTTTTATATCGGTCATTTCCGTGTAGACCAGTGGGGACGACCACTTCCAAATAGGGGTCTGCTCTTAGTTTTTATTGAAATTTGTAATCCCTTCCCCTCACTTCATTACTAAATTAAGTCAGCATGTATCTTAATGCGAGCAAGTTACTTTAGCAAACGCTTTTTGCAGGTCGCAAAGTACACTTGGAAGATTTAGCAAATCGACCAGCCGGTTAGTGAATAGATCAGTTGATGAAGGAAGAAATTCGCAAACACTACCCAGACATCACAATAAATTCGAACCTCCAACTAGATTGAATGGAAACAATCGATCGAACAGCACCATCAACGTTTCGATTATAAATACACTCGCACCGCCAAGGATCGTAAACGAAGGTAAGGGCTTGATTGTTGACATTCAGATTTAAGTTTTCTGTATAAATAATTCGAGGATCAAATGAAGAGCAAATGTTTTTATCTAACGCTGAGTTCATTTTCTTAAAATAGGTGCTGATTTGAAAACTAACACCTACATTTATGAGTTAGGTGTGTAAACATTGCCTAAAAAATTACAATTCATTGTGAATCTGATTGATGCGCATCTTCAAGTTGTTAGAATTTTAATTCGACATTGGAAATTAAACGGCAGAAAGATTAGCAGCAATTTGTTGCTGAAAGCAGCTGCTGCTTTTTGCAGCTGAAATTTTTATCAGAAAATAGGTACCTATATATTCATGTAATCGCTTACACTTCCGTTGTATTCTTATGGTACCTACAAGCTTTCAATTGGCATAATTTTCATTTAAGAGCAATGTGTCCATTTTCCTCTATTGAAAAAAATTGCACAACAGCATTGGTATTTTAAACGCCACGCGATTGTTGCGGCATAAATTTGTGTTTTAGAAAAATCAGTCAACCCTTTTTATTTCAGATACTCACTCAGTTTGCAATCGCGACATGTCAAAAAACCACACTTTTCAACCTAATGTCCGTTATTAATCTAAGGTTTCTATTCAATAGCTATTCAATAGTTTTCTCTACACAGACTACACTCACTACACCCACACGTTCACAAGGAAAGTACATATTTGCCCATTTATCGGCCTAGATTTCATACACTCCGATTTGAATACTAGTTTTTTGTTTATTTTTATTTGTAAACAATCAATCCATACTTGCCGAACCAGCATTCTTTCGATATTTTTACGATCGGTGTTGCCGAAAGATGTGTATGTGTGTAGATAAACGAGTTTTTATTAACAAATGAAAATTTGGAATATATTTTCTTCATTTTGCCACAAGGCGCACCAATTGAAATGTCCACACATAAAAATGCAAATTCATCCAAATGTTCTTGCACTAAAAATAATCATGACCCGATTTGAATGATTTTTAAAGGATTTTATTCTCTAATCGTAGACGATTTTTCAAAAAAAACTCAAGAACTTAGCTCTCTTCGTCTCAAATTCTTAGCTATTTTGATCACAAAGAAGCAAGGAATTCAGCCAGATAAGAAATAGGAGCGCTAACCCCTTCTGATAAAAAATTCAAACAAATTATTTTAGTCTCATTAAAATAGGAACAAAGAGCAAACCACAAAACAATTGAATCTAGCAAGTTTTTTGTAATGAAGAATGTTAATTAAGGCCAAGCGCTTTCGACAATTACGTCATCATCAGGGCCGCTAAAAATCAAAGTAACCGTAACTACCCTGGGGCATATTATGCAGACAAAACCAAGTAACAGGAAACAAAACTTACTCGTCAAATCATAAGGAAATATCCCCAAGAGCACCGAATAAAACATGCCAAGCAATGGTCAAAAATAGGTTAAAAGCTGGTTAGGACGGTCGAAAATGTCTAAAATTGTATAGGACAAACTCACAAGAAACAAGACTTAAAACTAAACTTAAAATTAAAACAAAAGCGATTAAAATTAAAATAAAAGAACTTGACTGGTCGACTCTATCAGTCGGAACTGGAATGAAACGAATTTACATAGTTTTAAAAATCGTTTCTAATCAATTTATAATTTAAAGCTTGTAATAAACTCACGACACAGACACAAATATTATATTTTTTACAGGTCCAATTAAACCAGCTCGTACATATAAGTCAAACTTAGCGAGAAGCAAAAGCCTTATAGTTCACGGAGATTTGGACGCCATAAGAAGCAGATCAGACATGTACACATCAAACTCAAATATTCATAGACTGAATGAGAACCCCAGTGGCCTCAAGAGTCCTGGACTGATTTCAAGCCTCAATAGAAGCCATAAGGTTATTAAATATTTTATACTAACATGTATTCTAAAGATATATTTTATTAAAATTAAATCAAACCAATGTTATTTATTTTTAATGCATCTCTGAATTATTCATTATCTTTTTTGTCAAATTTTTAATTTACTATTTTAGGATATAAATGATGATATCTATACGTCTCGTTTCCAAAGAAACGGCGATAGTGTGGATAGCGGAATTAGAAGATATCCAGACATAAATGCCAATAAGGGTTTCGGAGAGAGAACAGAGAATAAAAGAGTGTATTTATCAGGCATAAAAAGTAAATCGCCCGAGTTTTTCAAAGCGGTCAATGAAGATGATGATGATTGGAGAACCAAAAGTTACACTAATGCCACAAGAAAATCTTCCAGAAATTTTAATGGAACTGATGTTTATGAACCTCCAACCAGGTAATTTTTTAACTATAACCTGAATTGACTTCATATGAAAATTTATTCGAAGTGAAGTTGAGAATATAGCATCGCGTGCAGGAAGAGTACAACTTTTTCAAACTTTCAGGCTAAGAGATACTCACATAATGTCCACACCATCCCCAAGTCATTCGGTACTACGACGCGGTAGTACTTCAAGTACCGATTTCTCCGAAACTTATCACACCACAACAAGAAATGGCGATCCTGTTCGACCCAGCGTAACCAATACGGTTAAAACCATTAGTAAGAAGACTATTCCGAGCAAATATGGCAGAGCAATGGAAACTATAGAGTCGAGTGAGACGAAGAGCATCACCAAGAGTCATTATAGAAGCAACCGGGGCGAATCTCCTTTGTCTCCGAATGTAAAGTTTTATGAAAGTGAGAGGCGGTATGATAGTTCGAAACCGGTTGTCATTGAAGTTAGAAATAATTACCGAAATTAGAGTTATTTTTTGAATATTTCACTGTAAGTACGACAAATTATTAGGAGAGTTGAAACACTTTGATCGTCTGGTTTCTATTCTGCATATATCGTTGACCTAAATAGTAATTAATACGTCTCAATATTTTTAAAACTTCTCCATATCTTCCAGGTGAAAACATTCTTATTTATTTAAAATTGTCACGTGCCATTTAAATCACCGCATAGTATTGTTTTCAGTATGTGCCCATATATAAAGATTTTTTTATTGAAAGCATGAAAGGATTGAATTGAAAATAATATTATTCCTTTACATTAGTTGCCATGTTTTCATCAAATGCAGGACTGTATTTATTATTTTAGTAGTAATACTTGCCAGTTTCACGTAGTTTGAATTTTACACTAGCAATAATACAAATAACCGAACAAGTGCTTTACTCGATTGTAAGTTAACGTTATAGAAATATGTAGGTTTGTTTTGATAAACACGTTCTTGTATCATTGGCAGTTTGTATTGAGGACTTCTTCTTAAAGACAATAAATACTTCCTAACATTTTGTTAAGTAGAACAAATCCATTGAGTCAAGAAAACGTGTAAGTATTGCAATATTAGTGCTCAATATAAGATTTTGTATAGTTAACCCTGAGTAACATGAAGTTTATTTTATAAGTGATTAATACATATTTTGAAGGATAAATAATAGTATATTTTCTTTATTAAATGTCCCAAGTTCGATCATCACCATAGCAACAAACTAACATGGTTTTGAATATTTTGAAATTTTTTTTGCAGGTCTATGGAAAGCTCAGTTATTTCTGGTAAAAAAAATTACAAAATTATTAGCCTACACACAAAGAAAGTGTTTGTTTTTTCCCTTTTTTGACTGAAAATACCTTATAAACATTTAGAGGAAATTTTTTGTAGCTCCAAAGCAGTAGACGCATTTTGAGTTATTGCCTGTCTGTGTGAATTTAGCTATCTAACCATGTTAGGTAAAATGAGAATTGCTTCTCAAATAAGTTCAGGATGACAATTTTTCTTAAATTCAGTTTTATTGGATTCTTACAAGTTTTAAGATTTCAGTTACAAGTTCACATTTATTTCATGGAATGGTAACGACGCGTTGTAAAAAATACCTCATTCAATTCAGATGCCAGAATAATTAACCTTTCACAAGCACTAATAAGAAAGTCAACAAATAGTTCGACGCAGGAGCAGTGTAATTGGCAATATTCCCAGCTTTTATACACAAAAGTTTAAAGAAAATTTATTGGGAATGTAATTTTGGCGCCGTCAGTATTACTTAGTAATTTGAAGCAACTGATATATGAAACGTGCACTTGTGATGTAAAAATACCGATTACTAATGGATATAGTTTTGAAACTCAATTTTCATTAAAATATTGAATTAAAAATAATTTAGAAATCGAGAATCTTCTAATAGTTTTTAGATGAAAATTTAATTTCATTATACAGTGCTGATACACATTTCTTTACAAAACAACAAAATGTACTTGTGTTCAACGCATTGTTTAAAGTATGGAATTAAAAACAACTGAGTTAAGTTTGGGATTACTATGCTGATTTATCGAGGTTCAAAAGTATATTTTCCAAGGAACTGATTCTATTATTCTAACTTAATAATTAACTTCCGCCGTTAATAAATTATGTACTCCACACATGTTAAATTACATCAGATCATTAATACTAATATAATACAAAGATGAATGGATTGAACCGCTCTCATTGGCCCTCTAAACTGAAGGGTCGGCTCACCCAGGTATAAGACCGACCAAAAGGTGAATATGTATTGAGAAGGAGACATATATTGTCGTGTTTACCAGCTACTGGTGTCTAGGAATAACGCTAATGGTTCATAAGTGAGAAGTTTTATTGCAAGTTTCTTCGTTTTATTTGAAATGGGTGAGTAAACTTTCCAATCAGACATTTTCATTGTAAATAATATATTTTTTGTGCTCGAAATGGTTAGTTTGAAGACGGTAAACTATATAATAGTGCGGAAGCAACGATATTCAATTGTTCGCTTTCAAACATGTGGTTTCGAAATTGGAAAATGTAAATTTGAAAGCTAAAAATCATTAATTCATAAGATTAAAACTTCTGTTCTATTTGAAATGCTTTCAAAATTGAAAGTGTTAGTGTTTTTTTAAGCTAATTTGCATTAAAATCTTCAAAACTACGAATTTTAGGAAACGACGAGGGAAAAATGTTTAGTAATAAACCGGTGAATAAAGATCCACATTTTAGAGATCTAAATTAATTGAAATAACCCCCCATATTTCTAACATATTTGTTCATAGATTAATTCGGAATATATCTAATCGAAACAGAATGGGCTTTAAAATAGCATTTACTACGGCATTGGTTTTACTGGGACTACAGGGAGTTTGATGTGTTAGCGCAATGATAATTGAGCATCTTGAGTATCGCTGTTCAAAACTACCTATTTATGATAATCATAATGTTAATGATACGCTCTGCATGGATAAGAATCTAATATCATTTGATTTTTCGTCGAGTTTCTTAAATAACCCATTATATAAATATTTTTCAAGTTCAAATTCGTTTGATCACGTAAGTGGAAAACAACTTCATAATCGTTCTGGATTCTACTCACTTTTAAAACCCGGGTTATCTCGCAATAGTTATGAAATATGAATCAAACAACCGTTGAAATAATAATCTTAATTGTAAGAAAATATCATACAAAAATAGTTTGTGTTATCTTGGGTGTTTAACAATTACGCTCTTATTTGATTAAAAGTTATCTGCATTTTACTGGGTATGTCAATGGCGTCAATTAGTAACTAATGGCAAGGTTTTTAATTATTGACAAACACATTCATTCTAGGTGAATATCTATTCCCGATAATTGCATTCCCGGCTTTTATACTCTGTGTACTTACATAATACAGTAAATAAAAAAAATATTCATAGTGATTCTGATGCCAACCAAGTTTTATGTTGTCAATAAAATGTATGGTACGATAAATACATACAAATTATAAACAAGGGTCATTTTTCCTCTAATTTTGAGTAATAAAAGTAATTAATATCTGCAAATATGTGACAAATCCTATTAGTTCTATATGCTAGCAATTCACATGTACCATCTTAAATCAGTGTCTCAAATGTGTTTGCTAAAAGGTTTACTGAAGTAAAGCAATTATGTACCGAGTTGAGATGCGCTAATGCGGATTAGAATTTTCGAAAGAGGAAATAGGCGACAAAAGATGTAATAAAGTGTGCATGTAATTTTAAATTACATACACACTTCTTTACATAAAACTTGTTTAATTGACAAATATAAATGATTATTTAGATTACAAGTAGCTTTTATTAAATAATTAGTAGTCGCTCATGTAATTTTCAAACTTTTCGCAATGTTGTATATCTACTTAGTTCGAGAGCTAACAGTTAAACACGGAAAAAATGTGAGATGAAATAAACATCTTTTCTATTGAGATGGATTTGATGCCTCTTCTACAAAATTTAAATATGTAAATACTCGTGATCATGTGATACCTTGATGATGCGTGACACCTTAGTGATAGGTTTTTTCATTATGTGTATTATTCAATGAAAACGGTTAATTAAGTCGTACTCTGGCAATTTTTTTCGAAGCGCAAAATAGAATATTTCTGTGTCTATAACTATTTGTAAAGCGCACGAGGCCAATTAGAAAAATATTCAAATTCAAAGTGGATCTGGCATTCGAAACTAGAATATCTGAAAAACGATTTTACTACCATTAGGAACAATTAACTCAAGGTGTTTTAGAACGTTCAAAAAGCAATATTTCCACAATGTTTTTCCATAGCACGTTTTTACAAAGCACATCTCACCCAGAGCAGATTTCTCAAATTTGCAGCACCTTAAAAATTCCAAGTAAATAAGAGAAAATTTCAAATGTTGTCTTACTCTGCCGGTTTCTAATAGCGCGTACATTCAATAATTCCAACCAATTTTGCCGAATCCAAAATGAAGTAGTAACTATTTTTTTATGGAACTTGTAGAGCAAATAGTACTTAATTATAGGCGATTTTTTTTAACTTTAGAAGAAAGAGACCCGAACAAAGTAATTCGACAAAAGTACAAAGCAATATAAGGAAATCACAAAGATTTGTGTCTTAAACAAAATATTTCAATTGATTATGTTTTATCATTCAGGACGGAAAAATATTAGCTTCATGCAATAGTTTGCAACTGTGTTTGATAAATGTTTTATGATCTTTTGAGCTAGTGACCTAAATTGTTACACAAGCTAATCTGTATATTGGTCGAATCTCCAGAACTCGCCATCTTATTTTGATGTGATTGTTCGCGTATTACTTTTTCAGTTTTTTTTTTAATTTTTTTTATTAACGTGTAGTTACTTAATATGTACTAAACATTTTCTGATCGGACGCATTGAATTCATGTTGCTGCAGTTTAAGGACCGAGTCAGAAAAAGTCACTACACACAAAAACCGTTCTAACTCTTCACCAAGTCAAAAAACCAAAATTCCAGTCATGGAAGGCTATTTCTTAGAACCTCTGCATAGTTTTGACATGAACTGTACATATGTTTTAGTAAAGAAATGGAGTCTGAATTAGAAGTGCGTGAATTAATAATTAGAAATTTTTATCAAAATCCATCGTGGACCGACCACCGAAAAACTAAAAATAGCCACATAGGTAAACGTTCATAGAACGACCGTATCACGCGTTATTAAGCTGTTCAAGCAAACATTAAATGTTAACCGAAAACTGAGTTCGGGTAGCAAAAGCGGATTTACAGTCGACAGTGAAGAAAGTTGTCGAGAAATTGGAGAAGAATCTTAGATTATCCAATCGGAAAATGGGCAATAAATCAGATTGCAGTGAGAGCACCATACCTGGAATCAAAACCAAGTTGGGCTTTACGACTTATAAAGTTCTGACGACGCCAGAGAGAAATGCAAGTAAAAATCTAGAAGCAAAAAAAACGGGCTCGAAAATTAAACATTGATTTTTTCCAAAAAAAGATTGCTGTCTGACGGATGACGAAACGTACGTACGTTAATTGGGAGTTCTCCCAGCTTTCGGGTCAAGAATTTTACGCAGGACGTGAGCGCGGAGGTGTCAATGAAGAGTTCAGGACTAAGAAAAAGTCAAAGTTTCCCCAAGACGTTTCTCGTGTGGCAAGCCTTGTGTAGCGGTGGGGACCCAGCAAATATTTTGTTTGTAACGAATGGAACGATTAACACTCAAATTTACGTGCTCCAAAAAAGATTGATTTCATTCATGAAACAACATAAAGTCTCAACTTTCTTTTGGCCAGACTTGGCTTCCTGTCACTACAGTAAGAGAGCTGTAGAATGGTGCCAAATGAATAAAGTTGTTTTGGTGCGTAGGAAAGCCAACCCACGAAATTGATTGAAAAAGAACAGCTCTGAAGGGAAGCTTAAACCTCACCTGAATTCAAAGTAAGGTGGAATAAGAAAAATTTAAAAATTTCTGTCAGAAAAAATAATTTCAGCTTTTTTTTATTACTCATAATAAAATCATCTTTAAAATGCTTTTTGCTTCATTGGAATTTCATCAAGGGTTCGTAACCCGGCCTTTTTCTGACCTTTTCTGACTTAGTCATTAGGATTTAAGGCTTTTTAAGTGCGACATACACACAATATCAGTTAGTGAACGTGTTAAAAGGAATGTTCATTTAATTTGTGGCAGCTGGTCGATTAATAATTAATTACGTCAACATATCGTATCATCACGTATCATCGCCATATTTAATAAATGCCCAAGATCTATTTGGGCGCTACTGATACTGGTTGAAGAAATGGTCAATCAACCATATAGATAACTTATCTGGAACGAAGTACAGGAATCATTATCATTCAAACCATTTCCTGTTTGATTGTTTAGTTACATATATGTACACTTTGTATTTGGTTGGGCCCCCTATATAAAAGTTTAGTGCGGAGCTTCGCGCAGATGCCTCGAAACATTGGAGGAAGTTACGTGGGTTCGCTTATTTTTAGTGTGTTTTTAGACTTTCGTGTCTGAAATTGAGCGCGCGCGAACCAAACTCGAATCCCAAATAAACATTAATCCAATATAATTTGGAAATTCCAATAGCCTTGCAAGTGTTGTGTTCTGCTCTTTCACTTAATACGAAAAGTAGAAAATCATCTGTTCGAATCAAGTTCTGTGTAAATGAACTTCAATTAACATGACTTTGGAATACTAATTGAAAAGTTCAAATTCCCATGTGATCGCGGGTGAAGTAAAGTTTTGCAACTTGAAGAACTTTGACTTTTTGCATCTTGTTTGCAAAAAAATGCGGATCAGTTGACCGGTTTCACTAAGAAAAACACCGGGATTCAGTTAGCATCAAATTATTAGCAGATATTCAGCATGGGTAAGCCATCAGTATTCAACATCAAAATGCTACATCCGGATTCAGAATTTCAAATAAATGCATTTAAAAACAAAGAACATTTTTGCTGTCTGTCGACTTAAATTCATGTTTAATTCAAACTGAATAATTAATATTTCTATAGTTTAATCTGAGCAACATGTTACACAATGATTTAGCGACCAGTTTCTTAGCATGAACATGCTTATATAAAAAGTCAATACTTATGCAAAATTTTACTAAAAATCCCTACATTGCTATCAATCAATGTTTAAATCCAATACACATTGACAATTATTATTAGCAACAGGACAATGCCATGTAATTTTGCTCTGCGTTTTTCTCTGCTTAAAATAAATGTGCTTACCTATACTTATATACCTACCTACTTAATTAAGTTTTTAGTATTTCTCCAAGGCATTCTGCGACTGTTTATTGATTACAATAATTAATTTCTTAGGGAAGCTTCAATGCAATGGAATGGAAATTCAAAAGCAATAGTCCGGGGTTAACCCCTTTACTTTGGGATTAAATATAAATTCGCTTTCACCCTTATTTTTGCGGTTGTACCTACTCGTATCTGTAAGTTCAAGGTGACCTTCTTTACGCCCTTCCATTCCCCCATTAGGAGCTTCCATTCGCAACCCTCTACTCATTCATTAATTCCGTAACGCACAATTTTGCTTACAGTTACAGGCAGATTCAAAAAGTTAGACATCTGAAAATTATTTTTGAAAAAGTTAGTGGCTTGAATTATAAATTTACTTAACTGTTTACATTCACAAAATTTAAACAACAATTCGACTTGCACTACCTGAATCGTATTATAAGCAAATTAAACTAAACCTTGACACTGCAGACTATTAAAATTTCAGCAGTTGAGACCTTGGCAATGTTAGGTCATATAAAAAATTTACAGCTTCATAACAAAGGCTTAATCCAGTTGAAGCATTAAAAATGCAAATAACGTTATGTAGTCAATAATTTTTATTTTATTGACAATACTAAAGACACCGCTGTTAATAACAGACCGGTAAATACCTTGAACCATTTGCTGATAACCTTGTATTAACTCCAAATGTTCAATTGCTTGCACACGAAGGATTATTCGATTATGGAAAGATATGCGTAGACGGTCTGGGTTAAATTACAAAGTTAATGTACAAAGTGACTTTGATGACTTGAATCACAAGAACTGGAATCAGCGAATGCGCTTTAACCAGCATAAACAAAAACATTTAATTGGATTATCACAGTTTTATTTTGTTTTTCTGTTCATATCATTTCGGTTTATTGTATGATTAACTATACCAGATAGTCTTCAAATAAAAACATACAAGTTATCATTTAGATAAATAGATGCTCAATTTATTTCCGAATACTTCTTCAGCGCAAATATGTGGAACTATGAGTTTGTTCAATTCTTATCTTATCTATAATTTAGCGAAAACATTCGCCAGACTAGATTGAAACAAATCGATTGGTTTAAAAAGTTCTATGTGTTCACCCAGTGGATAAAACCCTCTGTATAGCTTATGAGTGAGAAATTGAAACAAAATATGTAGATGATCCTAAGCAATGCCACTTAATTTGAATTGCTAAGTGTTCAGCTCATAAGGAAAAAGCATACTTTTTCAAATACTTATGTACCTTGAAACCGAAATGTTAAATAATTAGCTAGAGCATAAACTGGAACATGTCGATTTATTTAAAAAAGATTATATGTATTAATAAACGAATCCGAGAAGTAATAATTATTTCAATGTAGGGTCGTAACCTGTAACGGTTATAACACAAATCACAACAATTACAGCATAGGCATAAAGAAATTATTAGCTTTTTATATGAAAAAAAAAGTTTATGAATGAATTACATAAGAATGATAGGGAATAAGCGACGTCCTTCTAACTAATTTCACTTATTAACGTAGACGTTTATTATTAGTTTAATTATATACTTAATTATCAGCATGTAATTGCCGACAGTGAATTTAAAAGGTGGAAATACAAAAAGCAAGTGTAGCTCAGATCAATAAATATTAATAATTGTCAAAAAATAATAATTTTGCTACTTACACATAAATTACATAAACTCGTAGTTAAAATGTGCTTGTAAAAAAATTATGAATATTGAACACAAATATTTAGTTAAAAGTTATCGTTTCACGTTATTTGTAAAATAAATAACATTTTAGCTGTTCTTCATTTGTAATCTAATACAGTCCCTAGAAAAGTAACGCAATTTGTTTTTACCCTTTAACAATGGATGTTATTATTTGGATCCAAAGGTATTTAGCTTAGTTAGAGACATTCATTCATATTAGTAACTATTATACATTCATTTTAAAAATTAGACCGATTTTTTAATGAAAAATTGTAAAATAGATAGGTAGTAAACTTTTCTAAATCACTGGTTTCCAATTCAACATTGATTCATCTCTTAAGTCAAAATTTGTGATTCTCATAAGCTTTCTATTTTAAGACTCAGGCAATTATGGATATTTTTTGTTAAATAGAAAATAGTTTTATTAATAAAATTCGCACATGATTTAATTAATTTCTTCTATATGTACATTTATCCGATTTGTATCCAAATTAAATTTTTTAGTTTTACTTAAGTCATTTCTTTGATCATTTTAGGTTTTCCGAAATCAAATATTACTTAATAATTTTCAGATAACAACCAATAATCTACATCTACAAATATCAGGTTGTACCTCAAGGATTTGCAAACATTGTGACTCCCACATTCTTTAAATTGATATTAACATGTGTTACCAGATTAAAAGTTATTTGCTATTTATAACATTTATACAGATAGAATTTCTAATTTGTGATTGTCGGGTTGCCAACTGCCAACCAAAATATTGCATAATGGTGTTATAAAATAAGTTTTTTAAGATTAAATTAAATAGCTGATCGCTGAACTTGACGCTGAACTTCTTAAAAGCCATGTCAACATCGATATGTTGGCTGAATATTTATAACATGAACTTTGATTATAAAATGTGTTTAAAATTTAAAGTTTAAATGTGTAAAAAATATTTGTTTCAAATTATCAAACATTTCGTCGACTGGGGTGCTCAACTGTATTAACCGACTTTGATAACAAAACAGAATCTTGAAGTATGAAAATCTAATTTAGCCCCGGGTAATAAATCATTGAATTTAAGGCTGTTTTCTGCTATTGTTTTATTTAAGGATGCTGTTTGAAAATTGAAGAATATTGAATTTTCTTTGATAGAAATTATCGAAAAACCACTGTTTCAAAAAATATTTCTCTACCTTTTTTAGGTTTTAAAATTCCAATAAGATTTTGGATCGCCGTCATGGTGTTTGCCTCAACCTACATAAATTACACAACTAGGAGTAACATGTCAATTAGCATTACCTCAATGGTAACACGATCCAAAGACAAAGCAATTCCGGAATGCAAAAGAAATGAAACTCTTCAAGCTACGAGTAATGCAAATAGCTCAGTAGTTAGACCTGCAGCAGATGTAAGTATAAATGACAACTGTTTTGTCAACAAGTTTGCCGGATAAAATTATAAATTATTGTAGATGTATAATACAAGAAAATTATCTGTGCAATATTTTGCGATTTTTATTAGTCTTTTACGAATTGTTGATACTTAACTGGTGTTCTTTTCGAAATCCTGTACTCTAATAGGACGTAGGTATTTATGACTATTTGCATAATCCACCTTAAGACAGAGCACCAAGCAAATAATTAAATATGTATGCATTTATCCAGTTTCTTATTTATAACAGTCTTTAATCCATTTTTTATGCAATCATTGAAACCGGCATAGAATGTAAGTATATTCAGCGTTGAATATTAATTTCATGTTATTTTTATCGGAATAATTTAAATACAACATGATATACCTAGGGCATGGTTGAGCAAAATGTAAAATGTTAAATGATTTAAAACTCGTGGATTGATCAGGAATATGAGTTCGATAAGAGCTCGATTAAAACTGCCTGATAATATGTTTATTGCTTTTGAGATATCTATTAAATGGAAGATAAAGCTATACGCACAACTAGAAAAACGTTTATTGGTTGTAAACGCTTTTGAAAGTCGTTTAATAATGTCAAGGTAAATCAAATGCATCTTATGTGCAATTATTGTGCATATTTACGCATAAAAATGCAAATGTTATTTTAATCAGATTGTTGAAGTTGTCTGTTTTCTTCTTTGTGAGTAATATGTAGATTTTACTTAAAAACTGCTAACATGTTATTTATAAGCTGAAACACTTCTGCTCTAGAATTTGTGCACTCGTACTCGTATAATATATTATTTTACACTTTTGTTATTGTCTGGTAAATGGCAAGCCCCATTTTTGCATGATAATGCACTCCAATATACCTTATTCATTATTTAACATTGGCAATTTTTAGTTTGGCCCACGTTACGATTGGGATGAAGATATTCAAGGATTCATCTTGGGATCTTATTTTTGGGGGTACGTAATATCCAGTGCTCCAGGAGGATTTATTGCTGAATGGCTAGGCCCATTCAACACCATCTTTTATGCCCAAATCGTCACTGCCTTATTTAATTCTCTATCTGTGTATGGGGCACAGTGGCATTTCGGGGTGCTGATTTGTTGTCGATTTGTTTTAGGACTAATGGCTGTAAGTTGTAATTGATCAATTCGTATCGGTAACTTTGGTAATTATATTTCTTTTAGGGTCCGATTTATCCAGCACTTCAGTGTCTAATTGCACGGTGGGCGCCACCAGCGGAAAAGGGTAAATTCGTTAGTGCTTTAATGGGCAACACATTGGGCACATGTCTTACATGGATTTTCGTTGGGATGGTCACTGCTTCAGCTGGCTGGGATTGGGGATTTCATTTCTTGTCCATTCAAATAGCAGTCTTCTGTGTGGTCTTCTGGTTCATTGTAGACGACAGTCCAGATGAACACAAATGGATCAGTGAGGAGGAAAAGAAATTCATTAAAGATTCCCAAGCAAAAACGATTTCCAAAGGAAAGGTAAATGTTCCAGCTTCACTGTGTGCAGGCTTATCAAAATTAACTGCATTGTTTGCATATTACAGGCTGTTCCTCCTTACCTCAAAATGTTCACTTCGCTTCCATTTTGGTCGCTCTGTATTTTGCATTTCGGAAACTTGTGGGGTTTGTACCTTCAAATCACCGGAGTTCCCAAATTTATGATTGAAGTCATTGGCTTTAATATCAAGGTAAGTTTACAAAAATTTAAAAATCTGCCCGAAATGTTGCTAACTTTTTCCTCCTGCTAAATTTTTAGGCTTCAGGAGGTCTGGCTGCTTTGCCTCATCTGTTGAGAATGTTTTTCGGAATGGGTTATGGATATCTCGGAGATGTTATTAAATCGAAGACCTCGCTGGGAACAACGCTCACCAGAAAGTCTTTTGTTTTATTTTGTAAGTTACATCACAATTTCTTTTTTCAAACTTAGCCTTTTTTCTAAGCGATTGCTTTTTATTTTGAACAAATTGATTCAAAAATAGTTTTGAAAGTTCTAGGCATGTATAAATTATTTCTGATCTAAATAATTTTTTTCTGCTTTATTCCAAATAAAAGAAAACATAAATGAATCAATGTGCATCAGTACACAAATATAAATGAAACTATTTACGAATCAATATACAGTGCTTGTTGGAAGAATCGCTTTGGCAGCAACAATTATAACGTGACCTCTTTTCAATTTAGAAAAATTTAGATTACCAACAGAATAAATAGCCCATAACAGAAGACGGGTTTTCCATGTTATGTAAGCTAATTGACTTAAAAAAGTGAAATAATTTTAAGTCATACATTAGGGTCACAGACATAAAGGGTCTTTTAAAATGATTGATGTGATTTTGGTAAAAACTATCGATCGAAACCTATGAGCCGAAAAAAATTAGTACTTTGGACTTTGGCAACAAGATCGGGGCTTCCTGTTTATTTCTAATTTGTTTCATAGAGCCACGTGAATGTTTTTGGGCAAGTTCACAAAAATTTCATGTTTGTGATTGTTTTTTTAGGGACCTTTTTGTTAGTTTCTGATCTGATTATCCTAAAATCTTTCAAAAATCGTACTTTGTACGATCTTTCTTCGATCTACTTTGTAATCACGTAAAATATGCTTGAATAAGGTATAATTAATCGAAAATGCTTTGTTGTAAACTTTCAGCTTCGCTGATTTATTTAAATAATATGTTGCATCAGTTGTTGTTATTATTTTCAAAATTTACGTCTTTTTTGCTTTTGTAAGCATAAATAACTGTACATAAGCATTCTTAAGCAAACGGATCTTTCGATTAAACGTTGCGGAAAATTCGAGCAAAAACTGGTGTTCCCTATCTTAGAAGAATCAAAACGAAAGACTTTGAACTACCAAAAAAAAGCTTAACTATCTCTTTGAATATTTATTCACTAACACCCTGAATTAATCCAACTTCAGTTAAGGGTATTCAGAATGAATTTATTTTGTATTTTTACTGCTTTAAATTTAGCTATGATATTCTTATATTTCCTGGGTCTCAGTCAAAGTGTGAAGTAAAAATTTTTTGAATATCGTTTATTTCATTACGTTTCGGCGAGACAACAGCGCCACCACCAGATTGAAAATGTACACAAACTACAAACACCAATTCACAATTAAAACATGTTGTATAAAAACAATACTTTATAAAGTGTTAAAACATTCATCAGTTTTTGAGGGAAAAAATCCTTCCTTTTGGGAGAGCAAAACACTGGAAAAACTTACCTCATGAACTTCCCAAAAACTGATGAATGTTTTAACACTTTATAAATTATAGTTTTTATACAACATGTTTTAATTGTGAATTGGTGTTTGTAGTTTGTGTAAATTTTAAATCTGATGATGGCGCTGTTGTCTCGCCGAAACGTAATGAAATAAACGATTTTCAAAAAAAATTTACTTCACACTTTGACTGAGACCCAGGAAACATAAGAATATCATAACAAGTACACGCAGTCAGAAAAATAAATCAGAATTTAAATTTAGCATACTGAATTTCCTATACCGGACTTCTCTAATTAAAGGATCTGCACATTATACGTACATTTAATATGTAATTCAGTTATTAGTCAATTTAATGAAATAAATATAGAGTACACTGAGCGAGTAAGTGCCATTTTATTAATTGACAAAACTATCATCCCATAATCAGATTAGAATTTACCAAAAAAGGAAGACATTTGCAATGAAAAATTATCAAATATTTTGTCAAATTCATTAAAATATTGCAAGTATATTTAGGGCTTAATCACTAAACTTAATTGTTCGATCTGGAAGTGAATTGAAGTTTTTATTTAGCTCATATAATTCCTGGAGTTCTGCTGATGTGTATGACTTTGGTGAAATGTGACCATGTAGGAGCTGTGCTGATCTTGATCTTCAGTATGTCGATCAACGGCGCTGCAGTAGTAACAAACTTACAAAATGCCCAAGATCTCGCCCCAAACTTTGCTGGCAGCATATTTGGAATAATCAGTTTAATTGGAGGAACTACCGGATTTATTACACCTGCTGTGACCGGTGCACTTATGAAGGAAAATGTTAGTTCATCTAATATACCTTTCAGAACGAACAAAATATGCTCAACTGGCCATGTTTGTTTTTCAGAATGGAATTAACGAGTGGTCAAAGAACTTCATAATTGGAGGAAGCGTCTATATCGGTGCTGGTCTATTTTTCATAATATTCGGAACAACCGACATTCAGCCTTGGAACGAAAAAGTGCCCGAAAGTGGCGCAGCAGACCCAGTTCCTCTCAAAACCATAATTGTCGTTCAAGACAGCGAAGAAAAAGCCGAACCAAATGAAACAACAAAGCTTAGTATGTAAATGATTGATATTTTGACTTGTGTGAGTGTGATGTAAATTGTTTTAAATATAAGGAAAATAAATTAATTGAAAACATTCACGTTTTAGTATTTCGGAAACTCTATAATTTTTTGTATAAGTTTCACGTATTCAATCGACAAATATCTAAATCTATCTTTCTTCGAAAGAAGTTAAAATATTCATAGTTACTGTTGAAAATGTTCACGATGTTCACAATTATATCGGAATTTTTTTAAACAAGCGGGAACGTAATAATTATTGGAAACATGTCTAGTTGCAACCAGTTTTATCGGAAAAATGTAATTTATCATCTGCCGGACCTCGCACCTTCAATTTCTAAATACCTATCAATCTTAAATTCCTAGTAAATAATTAAATTCAGATATGGAATGAGTTTTTGACCGCGTAAGTTTAGACTGCTACTTATTATTTGTGCTGTTAAAGTTGAACGAAAGGAGCGAAACAGTCTTCGAAAAATGTGAAAAAATTAAGCTCGAATTCACCCAAAATCGATGTTCGTTAATTTAGAATAAAATGTGCAAAACGTTTTCTCATTTACAAAAAATCAGAAAGCTATGGAAATGTGTCAAATTATAATAGGAAAATATAATAAAATAATAGGAAATAATTCACAATAAGCTGATTTGCTTTGATGATCTTTACGCTTATTATTTGTAAATTATATCAAATAAGTTGCAACTTGTTGCCTGCCAAAATGCACCTTTTGCTGACCTGTAATAATATTTTTAACGTCAGAAATAAATTGACAGAAATGTTAACTTTAACATAAATTCTACCAAATAATTAGATCTGAGAGAGAATGGGTTGCGCGAAGTGTTGTCAGCTAATTCCCACCCGCTATTTGATTATGGCCATGATATTTTTCACCACCTACATCAATTACACAACAAGAAGTAACATGTCCATCAGCTTGCCAGCAATGGTTATGCCCGGGAAGAAATTTATAGCTGAATGTAAGAAAGGCGAACATACGTCCAATAGCACTCAAACTAAACCTGAAGACGATGTAAGTATGAGTGTAATTTCATGTCAATTTGTGAGTTTCTGAGCATCTCTCTAATTTAAGCAATTGATATTCGAGGAATAATTCACCGAATTTTAAAAAGCATTTTGATCTAAATGAAGCAAAATATTTTAGATTATTTGGGAATGCTACTTATCCACTACGGATTTAAGTTTACAAAGGCTTGGCAAACTACCAATCAGTTATACGCGAAAAAGCATTTTAAAGATGAGTTGTCTTAAAATGGCTTCTCAGTTATATTTGATATAGGACACATTTGGTACTCAAATTACGATTAAATGAAATATTTACCATTTATTACCCGGTTTTCGGTAAAAAAAATGGCTGTAATCGCTCCCTCGACTTTTTCATTTTCATAACATCTGTACAATATAGGTATACATACGCTATCATTTTAACTGTTGTCGCTTTGATAGATAGATGCATAATTCCCCGGAAGTCGCAGATTTATACAGGGTGGTCCTCAACTAATGTCCAAAAATCCACTGGCATTTTGTTTAGGCAAAAATATTGCGTTTTAAGCAAATTTGTCTTATCCGAAAATTAATAGATTCCGAGATACAGTCTCAAAATGTAAATAAAAATTTCGTTTTTTCTGAATAACTTTTTAACCAGTTTTACTAGTACCACAAAAATTTGTGTTTGGGAGTTTTTTAGATCGGCAAATCCAAATTCCCTATTGATTGGCTTGTAGTTTTTAGAAGGCGCTAGCTGCAATAGTCTGGAGCCATTTAAAACATCAGAACTTTTTTGGCATTTAATATATCGCTTTTTTGTTGGAAATATCTGGTTCTCCAATATTTCCGATACTAAAAGTGTGTACTTGATTCAAGTCGATATCTGTCACCGTTTTCGAGATATTTCACATTGAAACATCTAGTCATTTTTTGAACTAGCTCAAATTAGATCCCTAATACTGTCCTAAATTGACTTATATTACGTTAAAGTAGTTCTGAACGCGCCTAAATAAAGACTGTCTAATGTTTGTTAAGTTTTGTTTAATAGAAAATTTGCGCAAAAAATTATTTTAATTAGACATCCAATTTGAGATAGATTTCCAATTAGTTCAAAACATCACTATATGTTTCAATATGAAATATCTCGTAAACGGTGAGAGATATCAACTTCGAACAAGTACACATGTTATGTTTAAAAAGTATCGTAAATTGTGATTTTACCAACCGTATAATGATATTTGAAACGCCAAAAAAGTTCTGATGTCTTAAATGGCTCCAGACCATTGCAGCTAGCGCCGTCTAGAAACAACAAGCCAATCAGTAGGGAATTTGGATTTGCCAATCTAAAAAAACCCCAAACACACATTTTTGTGCTTGAAAAAGCAAACATTTTTTTGCATTTTGACACTCTGTATCTCGGAATCTGCTAACTTTCAGATAAGACAAATTTGCCTGAAACGCAATATTTTTTCCTAAACAATGTGTCAGTAAATTTTTGGACATTAGTTGAGGACCACCCTGTATACGCCCATATTTAAGTTCAAATAAATGCTTGAAAATCTGTTAGTGATTCTATTAGGATAATAGAACGCAATTCTTTTAAATTTTAACCTTGTGTTCTTTAGGAACATACAGGAGAGGCGAAACCCAAAGTTTTACATTTGCATGTATAACATTTTTGTCATGTCTTTGATTGAAACCAATTTAGATTCTTGGAAAAAATTAAGATCTCTTGGGAGTTTTGTACCGAAGAGAAAACTGTTCAATACTTCACAGTTATAGAGTTCAAATGGTTCTAAAATGCAATAGTTACACCAGTTTTTTTATTGTTGCGTGTTTTATACCAAGTTCAAAGGGAATAAGATCACAAATCGCACTTACCATTAGTCTGCCCATTTTCATAGACAAATGAATGATCAATTTCTATGAAAGCTAAGTCCTCAGACCTCAAACAAAGTTCAACTATCCAAATAAAATACAAAAAGTCAAAAATGTTCAGTTCTTATCGCTAACTGACGGCAAAACGTCAAAAAATTACCAATTTGAAAACTTTATTTTTTACGCTGAAACCACACTACCGATCAGGAAAACACTACAAGACAATGCAGAAACACTTTAACTTTCAGAAAATCAGTAGCTTTCTGCACAAAAATTAGAAGAATTTCGAGTTTCTTGACATGTTGTCGGAGCAAATCGCAGACACTCCTTTCCACACGCCGTTACACAATAGACTAAATCTGCGGACTAATATGAGAAATGACGTGAGTTTGACGGCTTGTAACTTGATAACAACAGAAACTTTTCTTAACAGATTCAGAAAACAGAGAAAACTATTTTTTTTAAATAGAAAAATATAAACAATGACAGCCGCTTACGATGTTTAAAGACGCATTTTGAATCTCCTAAACCCCTATAAAACACATTCCTTGAGCATCTTCTTCTTCTAACGACATGAGAAAAGCGAACCGCTTTAACTTTGACTTTAACAAATATTTGTCGTTCTGCGACTTGATTTCACAAATGAAGGAATGGCTCAAATGAAAATATTAGGGCATTATGATATTAAATTGTATATACTTTCCTGACTGTGTTTCAATTCCAAAAATCAAATTCATTCCAGGGTTTCAGTCATTTATTGTCTCTATTTATCATTGTTTGCAAAATGCATGCCAAGGCTTAAAGCAGCAACAACGCTACACATAAAAACTGATGATGGTGGAAAAATACACCGAAACGTATTTTGATTGATAAATAGAGACTGAAATGACTGAAACCCAGGAATGAATTCGATTTGGATTATGATATTAAAGTCATAATTTTAGCGCAAACCGCTAGGAAAATATTACGAAAATTTTTTCAGAGTTCAGCCTTCAAACTTTTTCTGTACAAAAAGCTATTTGTTAGGAGTAGGTACACGGATATGAACCTTTTCTAATATTTAAACCTTAAACTCACCTCCCAAAACATATCAACGTCATTTTATTTCTAGACTGGAACAAAATATCCATGGGACCAAAAAACTCAAGGTTTTATTTTAGGAGCCTATTTTTATGGGTACCTTATGGGCAGCTTGCCTGGAGGTGCAGTGGCGGAATGGCTGGGCCCTTATTGGACCATAATGACTGCCACAATGTTTTCGGCAATTTTGAACAGTATTTGCGTCTGGGTAACCCCCATACATTGGGGAGCTTTGTTCACCGTCCGGCTTATTATTGGTATTTGTGGGGTGAATAGTTTAATTTAGGTTTTAGTCAATTCATTCATAAACTTAAGGCGCTTAGGGTCTCGTTTATCCAGCTCTGCAGTGTCTTATAGGCCGTTGGGCGCCGCCTCAAGAGAGAACGAAGTTTGTAGCCTGTTTAATGGGAAATACGCTTGGAACTTGTTTAACTTGGGTTATTGGTGGTGTGGTAACGAGATACTATAAATGGCCATGGGGCAAGTTATTACATTCATTATTACACTGATAAAGCGGTAATACAAAAAAAATGAAAAAATTTTTCAATAAAACAGATCATTAAAAAATTCATAATTTTTCCACCGCTTTAATTTTTTTACATCCAAAGTATCTAGAATTCAAATAGATTTTAACTAATATTAACTTGTAGGTTTTCACGTAATGTCCTTACAAAATATAGCATTTTGTGTCATCTTCGGATTACTGACTTTTGATAGTCCTGAGCAACATAAATGGATTACCGATGAAGAACTTGAGTTTATAAAGAAGTCCCAAGAAGGAAAAGTTTCCAAAACAAAAGTACCGAAGTATTCTGTGTTAAAAAATTTATTGTACACACACCATTTCAGGCCCTTCCCCCATATAAATCCATATTAACATCGTTTCCTTTTTGGACATTATGCGTGCTACATTTTGGCAACTTGTGGGGACTTTACGTGCAAATTACTGCTGTGCCGAAGTTTATGAAAGAATACGTTGGGTTCGACATCAAGGTTATTTTATTCAATTCGAAAAACTAGGATTATACACGGAATTTGTCACTGTTTAGAACTCGGGAGTTTTATCTTCCCTGCCCCATCTGATCAGACTTTTTATGGGCCTGGGATATGGATTCTTGGGGGATTATTTGAAAAAGCGAAACTTCAAAAGAATTATCATACTGAAATGTTTTATAATCCTGTGTAAGTACGTAGACACTAAAATCAATTTTTACTGAACCGTATTTGTTTTGGTCATTTAGCCCATATTGTACCGGGAATTCTTATGGGACTGCTGTCGATTGCCGAATGTAACGCGCCAGTGGTAGTGGCTTTGCTTACATTGAGCATGGCAATAAATGGGGCTGCTGTCGTCACCAACTTAGCTAATCCTACCGATTTATCCCCCAATTTTGCTGGAACGATATTCGGCATTATCAGTTTCATTGGTGGTGTTACCGGATTTATAGTTCCGTCCATAACTGGTCAGATAATTACAGCGTTTGGCGTAAGTAGAAAATAATTTATAAAGTTTGACTTTCTACAAAAAAACGAAAATTGTTTATGCGAATCAAAGTTGAGTGAATACAATCATATTTCGGTTCGTTTGTTTTAAACACCGTTTCGAAAACATACTCCAGAATTCAGAGTATAACAGATAGATCTTTTTAAAATAACTTTCTAGTCTTTTGGAGTATTATATTCACTTTTCTTTTCTACTTACAGCAGAAAAATCGAATTAAACTTTTTTAAACCCCAACATTTTTAACTCATTAAAATAAACCTTCTAAATGGAGCAAGCATTGGTTTGTAAGAAATGTTCCGTAGCGGACGTAACTATTAAAAATGTTTTTTCGTTCAATCATTTCATTCTATTTTAAGTTGATTGATTCTAATCAGGGAGTTGGTGTGTATACTTGAAATACCCTGGTTAATAGGGTATTTCCAAAGTTCTCGGTAAAATCACACTGAATATCGTTCCAATGGGGCATTTCTTCCAGAATAATGGAAAAGCTTGGGGTAGCATCTTTGCACTTGGAGGATTGGTATACTGTGGATGTGGAATATTTTTCATAATATTTGGAACTGCCGATACCCAACCATGGAACGAAAAGAAGGAAGAAAAAGCTGATACTTCGCAACCAGAGAGAACATAAAATTGTGTATGTTTGTCTGAATATATAAAAATGATATGCAACAGTGTGTGTCTTTTTAATTTTTCCTTCGCAGGAATTTATAAAGTACTTTACAAATCTACACGACAAACCTACTGAATCTTGAAATAATGAATACTATTTGAAACGTACGTATACAAAACCACTTCCTTGTTAACAACTTTACAAAATCTCCCTCATTAAGCCCACTTCAAATTTTAAAGTTTGGACTCTGTTAACCAGTTGAAACTCTGCGGTTTTCTATCTGCGGTAGGATTGATGATCACGTTAATGATGGTGGGTTCATTTTGGTTTTGCAAAGCTTGCTTTATTGCAGTTTGTAGCTCGGGTACTGTTTGGACAAAGTGTCCAGACTTTCCAAACAGAGCCATCATATTATCGTATCTCGTGCAACTGGACAAACATCCAGGAGGTGTACTAAAAATAAAAAATTATGTAGCGAATTGTTGGGTTCAATTAATCTCCTGAATCTGTTCGAAGTGTACAAACAACTACACTGATACTTACACTTTTGTAACATCGCCACTCTCCTGTATATCTTTGAAAACCTCCGGTTCCATTCCGGTGTAAATTCCAGAATTATTTACTATAATTACGATTATTGGCAATTTGTATCTGACCATGGTTTCAATTTCCATGCCGGAAAACCCAAAAGCTGAGTCGCCTTCTACGCAAATTACTCTTTTTTTGGGATCGTAATGTCTACAGTAAAGAGCCGCAGCAATTGCAAATCCAAGCCCCACCTAAAGCAAAGTTGAGTTTACTTCTTAATTAGTGAATCTGCACGAAGTTGATGAACATTCTTGTTTCACTGCACATATTGGACAAAATTTTAACTATCTTAGACTATACTTCAGTCGAAATTGTAAACAGAAAGACCAACTAGCCAGTCGATTAAAGAATATCGGTAAAGTATTTATATCCGTGCAAACTGAAAACATTTTAAAAATTAAAAAGTTAATATATCACTTCAGTAATTAAAACCGTGTTCAAGGTTCAATTTAAAACGTCATTTTCATCATTTCATCATTCAGTTCATTTTTCGGCAGCTGCGGTAGTGAGCTCTTTAGGAAGTAACACACATAATTAATACTTTTTTAAACATTTAATCTTCCTTAAAATCGAGCGATTTGCCGAAAGCAAATGCTGCTTTGGCATTTTATTAGATAATATACTCGTTGTAACTTGGCTTTAATATTAGAGATATGCATTATATTGCCAGCATTTCTCGCATGAGATTATTTCATAGTATTCCATAACTTCTTGACGAAATAGTGTAGAATTTCATAAAGAACGGTGAAAATGGTTGAATGTTTAATTAATCAACTTAAATTCCCTTATATCATTTAAACCGCTAGGAATGCTTAAATATCTAAACCACCTCCAGCAACAATACCAATATTTGCAAACACTTTGTTTAAAAAAAACTTAGAGAAAACCAGTTAACCTTTGTAATTAGCAGAAGCTGTATTAAGTTATATTAAATAAAACCGATAAATATATGAATCACTTACCCCCATTGTTCCAAAAGTTCCAGCATCGAGTCTATGTCTTGGAAGCTTGTTCAGTAACATTGATCGACCGATATCCATTGTGTTCGCACCTTCGCTAACAATAATGCAGTTTTCTGGTAAATTTTCATATGTGCTCTTGAAAACTGCATAGTAGTTTAGAGGTGTTTGGACATCGTTAGCCATTGCCTATAAAACAAGTGATTAAAGTACGGTAATTTCATCGTCAACCGCAACTTGCATAATACTTGCCTCAACTGTTCTTCTATTATCTTCACTTTTCTTTCGCAAAGAATTCCACCACTCATCACTGCTGGAAAACACAAACTGTTCCTGCTTCAAACGAGTTACCAGCTCTGCAACAGCAGGTTTTAAATCACTCTGAATGGCTACCTCAGATTGAACACTGTTGTGTAATTCTTCGGCTGATATATCGATCTGAATGACTTTGACATCAGGAGAGAATCTAGAAACCTTCAGTATCAGCTTTTTTAGCTCCAAAAAAAATTTGTTAAAAGACATTACCTATTTGGCCTTCCGAAATGAAGAATCCAATTCAGTCTGGCGCCTAACAGTAGAATAACATCGGCGTTTTGAAGCGCCAAAGATCTAGCTGGTTGAATGCATTTATCTGAAGTGTCTGATACCACGCCTTTTCCCATTGGAGTGGCCAGGAATGGTAAATTAGTCAAGCCAATTAGTTCATTTACCTTGCAACAAAATTATTGTGGGTCAATATTCTGATAAATTTTGAAGAGTTGTAAAAAATACCTCCTTCTCAGCCCTTGCATAGGCTGCTCCTTTACCAATAATGACCAGCGGCCGTTTCGCAGTTGTTAAAATCTTCACAGCGTCCTCGATTTTTTTCGGATCTGGATATATTGTAGGTATAGCAGAGGGGCCGTACTGTTTAGGAATATGATTAGAGTCGACTCTTCCTGACAAAATGTTAGCCGGAAAATCCAAATATGCGGCACCTGGTCTTCCGTTTTTGGCCAATCGAACTGCTTTTTCCACATGGAGTGGTATGAGTGAAATGCTTGGTGGTCTCGCCGAATATTTACTATAAGGACGGGCTAGTTCCACCTAAAATTTACAAAAACACGTAAATGAAAAAAGTTCGGAAGTTTTATCACAAAATTTGCCATAAATGGGGACTGGGATTGAATTGATGAGCACCTGGTTGCATTCTTGGAATCCTCCAATACCTTCATGGTCTTGAGGGGCTGAACCTCCAATAACCAAGACGGGCCAACAGTTTATTTGAGCGTTGGCCATGCCACCAAATGTGTGAAGCAGGCCAGGTCCCGAAACGCATAAAACAGCACCGGGGGTCCCTTGGAAAATTAAAATTGATCTGATTGCAAACTATTTCTTTTATTGTCATAAAATAGGTTTTATGGCAATATACATCTTCCTAGCTGAAGAAATAGGCACCTGTTAAGTATCCAATGGCTTGAGCAGCATAACATGCGGCCTGTTCATTTCTCATTCCAATGTAGTGGATATCGGCCATCTGAAGAGCCATGCTCAGCTCGATCACCGGATATCCAATTATTCCAAAAACAAACTCAATTCCCTATAATAAATTGATATTAAATAATACTTTTTATAATAATAATTTTATTAATAATAATAATAATAAAATTTATTTGGCTAGCAGGTCTTCACCTGCTAGCTGATACTAAATATATGATAGCTGATACTAAATAGAGTGTTAAAGTTTAAGAGGCAAAATCCTCAAGAAAATTTTGCCTTGAAAAATATGATCATGTGTTTGCAAATGCTTCATTCGATTTCTTAATTTTTTGAAAAACACTTTAGCCGTTTTGGAAGGCAAAAGTTCTGTAACGAAAAAATTATTTTTTTGTTGTTTTTTTAATGGAAGGCATAGGTTCTGTATCGTAGCAGTCCAATAAAATATGAAATGCACTTCGATTTTGTTGAATTGAGAAATTGACTTGTTTATATTGTGATATAATTGCCAATGTGTGTATAAAGTTCTAAAAATATACGAACTGATTTGTTTTTTAAACCCAAACTAAGTATGGATTATTTTTAGTACCTTTAACATGGCTAATCAATTATTAATTTTAGAATTTATGAATTGTTCAAATAAATACAAACGCAAAATATTACTAAGTAAGTACCCAATTTAAAACCCCAATATGTTTTTTTATATATTTTGCTGATAGGAATCTCTTCTAGGCTTTTGTCCTTTCGGCTCTGAAACACCCTGTTCATGTAGCTATATTCCAGAAATAATCAAAATGAGCAATAAATGGTTGAAAATGGCTATTTGGTTTTGTTTTAGAGTAAAATACATAAAACCGTTCTAAAGGTAATTGACGAGGAAAGAGACAGAATACCATTCGCGAGCAGTGACGCTTGTTCAATACAGTGTTTCATTACCAGCTGTTCTGATTTTTTACACAAGTACAAGACAAGTACAAGAAAAATGTATTTTTAAATTTAGAGACTTGTTTTTGAGCCCACAGTACAGGCAATGTTCTAATATAAATATATATTCCTCAGCTATTAAAAATTTTAACAATGTGAAAAACACTGATAACATGTTCAAATATTTTTTTATTTTCCTCTCACAATTTTACAACAAGATTATTATAAACATATTTAACATTAGTCTAGATTAACATTAATTGTTCTACATTAACCAAGACCTCGAAAGTAGGCCTGAAACATTGAATCAATGATCAAAGTGTTAGTAGTTACCTGGGCTTTTAAAGCCTGAGCCAACACAGTGTTTCCATCAACTTCTTCTCCCATCTTGTCGTAGAACCAGTACAACTGCAGCACAAATTCCTAACAAACTTAACAAACTCAACACTGATAGAGTGATAGAATCAGGAATAATACAAATATTGAGGTTAAAACAGCGAATAGTGATTAGCAGGATTGCAAGATAACTTATTAAAAATTAATTTAATTCAATATTGATTAAGAACTAACATCAAACAGTGGCGTATTTTTAACTGAACACCAGATTGATGATGGGGAAGCAAATGTCACAAAGCTTCTTTTCTGGGATATGAATTTGTTCAATAAAAGTTCGCAAGGCATTTTTGAACTTTGAAATGTCCTCAAGTATTAAAATAATCACGTCCTTGGCTCGAAACTTGAAAAACAATGTAAACGAGTAATTTTTCATAGTCCTACTTATGTTTTTCTTATCTTAAATGCTTTTTGGTGGGATTATCAGTTATTTTCTCTAAAGGTTGGAACGAGACAATTTGTTTCTTATACAGGATTCTGTGGCTTTTGTCTATGATGTTGCTAGCTTGCTTCTGTTCTTATCTTGAAGTGAATGCTTAATTTCAAGCTGTATGTAAGTTCATAAAACTGCAATTTCACATTATTATTTTTACATATGGCGGGGTAAAAAAATTATTTTGAAAGAAAAAAATCAAGAAAATAATAAAGAATTCGGACAAAACACTTATAAAATGTTTCAATAAGAAAGCGCATGGTTGTTTTTTTGTGTGGTAACATACAGGGTGTCCCGTAAGCACATGATTGCATAAAAAAGACTATCTGACCTAATTTTTATTAACAAAAAATGTCTGGCTCCTCTGCTATTGATGGTCAAAGTTCTTTAAAAAAAATATCTTTCTTGAAAGAAATATCGGGAGAATGGTACGATAGTACGATTTTTTGTTGTTAATGCACTAAGCATTTATTCACAATTTTGTGCTCTTTGTAAAATCTAGTAGCATTCATAGGTTTTGGGCAAAAAATATGTCTGTTTTCTTGGCACTTAACAATGTCAATTTATCTCACAAATTCGTTTCGAGTGACCTTTTCTAACAAAGAAGTGACCGACATGGTCAAAGTATAGGGGTTTTGCGAAGACAACTTGCGTGAAAGAGTACGCGTTTACATTGTTAAGTGGAAAGAAAACATAAATATTTTTTGAGCAAAAACTATGAATGCTACAAGCTTTTAAAAAGAGCACAAAAGTGTGAATAAATGATTAGTGCATCAACCTAAAAAAAATGAGTTGGTTCCATCCACCAAATGAAAAGTTCTGGTAGTTTCTGTACGACGACACTCAAGAATTCACCACTTGTCCAAAACGGATGAACTCGATTGTTTCATCAAAATATGAGTCTTTCATAAGAACAAATTCACAGCGAGTTTCACCAAAATACATCGTGCTATTCTCCAAACATTTAAAAAAATATAATTTTTTGGAAGAACTTCGACTATCAATAGCAGAGGAGCCGGACATTTTTTGGTAATAAAAGTGAGGTAAGAGCGTCTTCTTTTGACCCAAATAATATCGCAGTACCCGTTTGATCATATGCTTACAGAACACCCTGTATTAAAGCATTCTATTTACCATAACTCATAAGTCTGGCATTAGGAAATAAAGTACAATCAGAGGATTTCCTCTGATTGTAGGTGCTTCAATTTTAACTCCATTTCAAAAGTACCTAAACCTTTGGTTTATCTATGTGAAAATTGATGCGTGGAATCTCTGATCACCAGCCAATATTTAATGTGTGTTAAGAATAGTAAAACTAATGTCTTCCATGCATGCTTTCCTGCCTTTCCGTGCCTAAAAGTCGTGTTTTTTTAATTTTATACCTCATTTTATAGATTTTTATATTTGGAGCAACAACGCCTTCCTAAAATGTAGGTAATTAACACCTTAAATGCCCCAGCAATGAAAAAATGGACTCCTTAATTCCAGACTCTTTAATTATTTCACAATTTACATACTTTTCATATAGTTTGCCAACGCTGTTTTGGTTACTTCCAGCAGATACAAGGTAGAGGGAGATTATTATTTGTCTCTTACTTCCAGCTTCTGACACATTTAACTGACACACTTAAGTACAGACAAGTCAAAAAATCTAGTCTCTCACACTTAAGTGAAAAGTGTTTTTCGACCGGTGTATGCAATTATTTTGTGTTTTTAAGTTTAGCCGTCTGATTTATGCGAATTAAGAAAAGTGCACGAGCATCTTCAAGTGTTTAAACGCAAAGAGCAGTTAAATTCGAATATTATGTTCGAATTCAGTTCGTGACAAATATAAATTGCCAAAATAACCGGGTTTGTGCTTTAAGGCAAGCTTTAACATTACTTAAAAAATAGTTACTATTTCAAGTCTAGAAAACTATTTAATTATTAAATAACTCTAATCAAAATTATATTAATTCATCAAGAAATCGCTAGATTTTAACTTGAAGGCATCAAATCTGCAATGGAAACATTAGTGAACGTCAAAATGTAGGTGAGTTGATTACTTTTTTGTCATTAATCATGTAATTAAATTGTGAAATATAGAGGAGTTACTAAACGGCTAGACTAAGGATTGTTTTAAGCAATACTTGCTTTGCAAGTAGAACTACAAAACTTACAAAGCAAAAGCTTTCGGCTATTTTCTAGACTATTGCTTTTCTGCGGTCATAGATAAAACTGTGCCAACACTATAGATAATCCGTCCACTAACTGGTTTTCTTAGTGACGTTTTTTGGGGAAATACATTTTTCACGCGTTGAGTTTCACAATGTTTTCATATGAAACCAAAGGATGATATGACGTTTACATTCTCTATCAGACCGATCTCACGCTAACGAAATTTGAAAAGCTCCAAGTTTTCAAATTTTCTTAGACACATTTTTTAGATATTGGCCTTACCTTCGGTTCATTTTTTTAAATGTTCGTTTTTATTTATTTTTTGTTTATGGTAGTTTTTGTGAGTATTGGTTAATTGTCTGTTTAATAATGTTCTCAGCTCCCATCTTCACGATAACGGACAAATTTGTCCTCCTGTTGCTAACGATGGCGTGGCATTTTTTCTTATGGAAAAATTGCGAGTGAAAAGTTGAACAAAAAGTATTTCTCGTTACCCTTAGATATACCACTAAGAAAAGTTGTCAGTAAAGAGAATATTTGCTAGCAGTGAGAAACCACTCGTAAGTGTCCTTTAAAAAAAGTGTCTTCTTAAAAAACATTAAAAATTTATCATTCTTGAAATTATTGCATCATAACATTAAGTACATATTCGTTCCAAAACCGCAAAAACTAGATTTAAAAAAAGTCGACGGGTTTGTTCACTGCACTTTTATATTGAACATTTGACTGGCATATTTTCAACTTCAAAGATGAGGGGCGTTCAAATTGGCTGAAAAAGTATAAAAATTAAATTAAATTATGAAATATAACAGCATTTTTGAAAAGTATGCTAGAAAGTTATCAAGCGGCTTGACAAAATATTGTTATGAACTTGCTTCGCTAATAGAACTAGAAAACTTATGAAACAACATTTTTTAAGCATCTAATAATAAAATACAGCTTTTCTTCCTACGTTTATTTTCAAACAGTCTTTCCTTTTAGAAAAGGGAAATTAATAAACCAAATAATATAAACGCATCCACACCGTTCATCCGACTAATCATAAACAGTAAAAAACCGGAAATAAGTTCTAAAAATTATGTTACATTGCTGTGTCGATCTCAACACCATCAAATGTAATTGCACGTTTTTATACATAAACAGTTTGTTACATGACATTCACGAGACACTGAAAACTATATAAATATACTAAATAAATATATAAATGGTTTTTCTATATTTTAAATATTAACATAAGTATTGGAAAGTAAAATCGAGCTTATACGGATTGTTCAATAAATGAACCTCGAATCTTAGAAAGTTGGTGAGGGACAGTCAGTCACAGACAGACAAGTCAAGCATTGAATGAGTTATAAAAGTTAAAAAGTAAAAGCTTAAGAACCGGGCCATTTTGAAATAAACGGTGTTAAAATTTGTTATTTTTTTTACTAAGAAAAATTGGACACAGCTATTGCCCTATTTGAAGAAAATTTCACAGTTTGTTTGTTAACAAAAATATGTAGGTATATGTTATATTTAATTTACTGCATAAGAAAATAGCACCCGGTAGTCTTTTAATAATCTACTGAGCAAAACAACTAAAAAGTCAACTTATATTTTTCAACTGAAAAATCTCCGAATTATGGTGCGATTTTAGTACAAAAAAAATACCTTTTAAATAAATTTTACTTGTTGTGTATCGTAAAAAGTAACAGCATTCAGCACCAGACATCTCAAAATGCTTGGTTTTTGCTTATAAAGAAGAAAATGCTTCGCTTGGTGACCGCCAAAGAATTATAAGGAACTGTAAGAATATTTACTGAACACCCTGCACAACAGCCTTAATTGCCAAAGAATCTGATCCATGTGAAAGTAATAACTACAGTTTACTGAGACATTTAAATTTAAAAAATCACAGACAAATATAATTACTTAAAACAATTAACAAAAAACAATAATCTCAACAGGGTACATCACAACGAAAACTCACCCTACATATTAATAATAATCATCATACGTATTTTGTAAGAAAAACTGTATAAGTACGCTCATTTTCTTACTTATGTTAAATATTACGCTAAGAATTGCAAACCATAATTTCTTGCAGTGAATCCTTATGCTACCAACGATATTGGTAGGACACACTAACATTTTTATATACAGGGTAAAGCCATTAAATACGCCTTTCTTTGCATCTTGTATAAACTTGGGTTATACTTTTACACGTAACTTACTTTATCTACAGGGTTTTTTTTTTCGGTTAGATCGCATTAAATATTTTCATGAGTAAATTTAAATTTCTCTACTTAAACACTAAGTTGATTCCTAGTAAAAATCATTATGCTGGGCACTTGATTTTATATAGAAAATTGCACGATCCCCGACCTGGAAAATTGTTAAAATTTCGATAATACCTAATTTTCAACTAATAATGACCATTATAGTATAGGTTTTACTAAAATTATCTGTACAATCAATTTGCTTTCCAAATACAAGCAATTGGTTTTGAGTTTGAGTTTTTCGAAAATTTTCAAAAATCGGAATTAAATATATCGGGCTGACGTTTAAAGAGTACTATACTATCGTTAATTATATACAGGGCAAATAATAACATTTTAATTTCATTAAATTCGGTTTACTATCTTTTATAACTATTGAGTTGGAAGAAAATAATCAAGTTCAACATCAACTACGTGGATCTTTTAAACTCTTTTTGCGTTTGCTAACTAAGCAAGTGGGCATTTTTAACAAAAGTTTGGTTTGATGTTGTAAAAAGCTTACAAACTTGTTTAAAAAATGTTTGATTCTGATAAAACTGGTGGACATCTACAGTCAAGCCATTAAAAAATTTCGAGAGAAACAAGTCGAGTTGCCAAGTGTAATTTTCCTACATACTTAATTAAATTTATAAAAAAACATTACGAAAATTACTATTACTTTCTCTATCACAAATATTTATATGTTAATCTTAGTCGGCACGACATTTGAACATTTTTTAGAAGGGTATACACGCAAAACACCAGAGTTAACGTTATATTGATTTTGTTTATTTTCTTTTCGGGTAAAAAGCAACATAATCTGAAGTTTCATTGCGGGAACTTAAATGTGTCGCTTTACATAGCAGACCTCAATTATTATGAGCGATTTGCATGTGAAAAGTTTACAAATGGGTCAGGCTTTTAGACCACAAATTAATAGAGAATCTGTTTAATATGTCAACTATAGCGTTGCTTAATTTAGTAAAATTTGGAGTAGATTGGTTTTTCTTTCAACAAGCTTTCTTCGTACCAAAAAAGATTCGCTTAAAGCTCCGTTGCACGATCTTGCAAATTCTACATTCATCTACTACATAAACGGCCATTGACATTTTACTAATCAAGATAACAATATACCCTGATTGGTACAACTCTCACAAACTTTTCTTCAGCAACTTTCAAAATGAAATTATCGTAATTTAGAATTGATGAACACTGTAAACTAACATCATCACTCCAATGAATTGGTTTATCTCCACTCGATTCCATTATGGCTAACATTTGAAACACTTCGCACAACATTGGTCGAATTTCCATTCACTTCTGAAGCGAGAGTAACCACAGTGGTGGAAGTTGTGGTGGTGGTTTGCTCCAAACGTCAGGCCTCCTGCGCCCTTCCACTGTTACAAGCCACTATCGGTACCACCGTTTGGCAACCCATTGAAGTCAAATTATTGCTCGCCATTTGGCTAAGTCCGAAAGTTTTCAATTCGGAAAACATTTCAGTGAAGTAGGCTAGAGAAAACAGACAATTAAAATGTTTGTTTTAATCCAATTATTGGATGGATGGATTATATGCCATTAGCCCAGTTAGGTTTATGGAAAAATGTAGGTGAACTATTGATTAGCGTTTATTATTTATTGACGCTGGTGGTTTATTTCTTTGTCGTTTTCACAATTTTTCTAGTCGTTTCTTCTACATACATATTGGATGTCAATGTATTAAAACGCCATTACAGTAGACTGCTTAAAACATATTTTCCTTATGGATCTTACATTCAAAGGCATTTTGTAAAATTCATGTTCTAGCAATTGATGTATTTTGCCACTTTTACTGTGATAAGAAAGGCGGATGCTTCTCTCCGATCTAGACCTGGGTAACTCAGTAATTTTTTTGTAAATAGCGCAGTGCTGCGTAGTTGGCTTAGTGCCCCAACTCAATGCACCGGCGCAGTAACTCAGTTCAAAGAGCTCAACAATTCAAAAGCGCAACTCCTTACAGTGTTACCCAGGCCGACTCCGATCATTTCGTCTTCATTTTCACAGTAACCTATTTTTCAAAAAGTTTTGCCTTTTAAAACATACAGAATTTTCTCCTTTCTAAAGAAAATTTCAATTAGTATAAAAATTAATTTAAAAAAATTCCATGGCGTTTCGATAACAATTCTAGTTACTATATCAAAGATTCCCAATAAATAATTTATTTAATTACTTTTTTTCAGTAATATTTTTATGGAAAACTATGAAACAAATTTCATAAATAAATGTAAATTTAAAACAATAATTTGGTAGCGTTATATCGATGATGTATTTTCAATGATTAGTCATGGATCAAACATTTCTTTAACAATAAAGAACCAACAATTAAATTCACTATTACAAAAGAACAAAATTACCAAATTCCTTTTCTCGATATAATAAATTTAAAGAATTTAGACAATTTTGAAACTTAGGTACATAGAAAACCTACTAAAACAACTTGATCTTTAAATTTCAACTCAATCATCCGAAAATGACAAAAACGAAATTCTGAAAATTTTGTGTGGTCGAACAAAAATTGTTTGTAATCAATCTAATTTCGACAAAATAACAATTTATACAATAGGTTTTTAATTTCAATTATTCTCCAAATTATTTTATTGACAATTGTATTAATGAAATTGAAAAGTCACAATTATAACAAAATAAAAATAAATCTGCTCCTAATATTTTTATTCCATGTATTCCGGAACTTTCAGATAATAGTATAAGAAGCGTAATTTCCAAATAAAACCTAAATCTCGAAAAAACGTAACTTACAAAATTTCTTGCGAATGCCATAAATTTTACATAGGAAAAATATCAAAATAATTAAAAAACACCATCCATACCTAAAACACTAAGAATTTCATAGGTCACATATTGGTCAACATGGATTTAATAAATGCCACAAAATTCAATAAGATGCTTCAACAATTTTGGAAAGAAACTATCAACAAAAAAACATAAAATTAAAATGTCACCTTAATTCTTAATTAATTTAAAATGCTGCATTTGTAAAAAAAATTGAATTAATAGAAAGTAAAAAGTAAACTCATTTAGGCTGGTACCAGGTAAATTGCTATATTTATTAATACATTTACTGGTGTTGAGGCATCCTTTGAAAGAGATAGTAGAATTGCTTTCAAAACATCAAGTACTGTTTTATTTGATTTATAGTAAATTCTTTGTTAAAGGCACATAAGATGCATATTTCAATTTACAATCTGTAATTTTGCTCATTGCCAGATTAATTTACTTGTGTTAATTAATAAAAACTTATTTTCTAATTTTATAAATTACTTACTGGGTTCGGCGTTAATTCGAAGCATATTGGAAGAAAGACGATTGACTATAAATAAACATCGATCCCAAAATGTCTCTTTGGAGTCTTCAACTAAAAACGGTTTGAGCGGGTAGGAGATTTCGTTCCCTGAAACGACAATTTTTAACTCAAAAACCGCAAAATTTTTAATCGCAATAGTCAATGTTAGAAGGCAAGAAAAACGGCAAAGTTTCTAAGCAATCAATACTCAGTAATAACTGGCGCGCTGCAACAAACGGAGAACCGATTAAGGCTTGAAGCAAATACGTATTGAATAACCTCGATCTATAATAACTTGGCAATGTAAAACACTGCAAAATACGTAAAATTGAAAATAAATAATAAACAGAAAATATTTATAGGCAAAAAGACATTTTAAAACGTTTTAAATTGGGTTTGATCCGACCTTCTTCTGTTATCTGTGATCTTTTTGTATTGAAAAAAGCCTCTTATAAGCTGAATCAAAAGGTTAATAATTATAGTATTGATTTCTCAGTAAAACAACGTTGGAAGCGCCTGGGAAATAGTGAGACGGAAAATTCATCATTGTTGTGTAACGCTTGAAAACACTTATACGGGATAGCGTTGGTTGAGATGAAGCCTAGACTAACGAGTTTTTTTTTTAATTTTCTTTCTCGAGCAGGATTGATGCGTTCTTTTTAATAGAAAAAAACTATGAGTTTTCCTACTTATATTTGAAACTTGTTTTTCGTTCTTACGGCCGAAAGATCAACGTGTAATTGAGATTGAAAATGTTAAAGCTTAAAGTACTTACCCATGTAGGAATATGATAAGTACAAACAAGTTAACACCACAGCCTGAAGTTCTTGCTCGCTATCAACCTCATCTTCAACTAAGTCTCTGACTAGCATATAAACGAAGACAATATTGGCTGGATTTATGAAGGCCACATCCTGCAATTAAATCATATACTTATTTAAGACAATTAACAATTATCATGTATTTCTTTAAAAGTTAAAGCCAGGAAACCAAAACGGTCAACGCTTGGTAAACACAACGGATTAAATCTGTAATCTTTTTAGTACAAATCACGTGGAGTGAGGACATGTGATGCCTCTCACTTTTGAAAGGTTTCTTCACTTGTAGAACTTTAGCTTAAGGATACACCCATATTGTTTTCTTCCAACTTCCAAGGAATAAATTAATTCTACTTTCTTCATTAATTCGCTAAATCCTTGGCATTGAGGCAAAGTGAGAGCAGCTATTGCAAAATTCAATTTGAAAATTTAATCATAATTTACTTATGTAGTCTTAGAAATTCCTTAAACACAAACACACACCTATTCAAAAGAGTCCCAGATATTGATTTCTCACCGCTTAAAGGAAGTTTTATGGGAAAAACAAACACTTTTGGCCCTGATATTTTTAGACATTGAAACGGTTTTAGCGAAAGTGCGAATGAGGACTCAGGAAAAGTGGGTTGCTAGGGGACTTAAGAGGAAAATTATTTAAATATTGGTGGGCGTCATTTAAAATTACGCGATTATGTTTCAAGATCTTTGTTTCATTTTTAGTCAGCTGGGGTATAGTGATATTCTTCTCTGCTATTGAGGATTAACCTCAGGAAATGTTATTTGTCTACCCAATTGTCTGAAATGAGTCGTCTAAGTTAAAATATCTTGTGAGTGTTCAAATCATCACGGTATAATTAAAGGAAAGTATACATTTTGTTGATGGGTTATTGAGTCTTTGGAAACAATGATTGACTCCTATTGATCATTCTTCACTAGTGTATTTCTGGCGCTCTAACATTGTATAGAGGTAATTTTTCCAATAAGTTCAATAACGTGCTTCTACTGGCCATGTGGAACATTAAGGTGTTCAATTATGTTTGTCCTTTCTATATCCCTGTGAATTATTGACAAGGCATTTATCGAAAATAAGCTTTAAAGTGGGAGGATTCGCTTCAGCAGTGGTCAATATTGATTTTGCTATATTTAGCTCTATTACATTCTGACTGAATGACATGTTATATTAATTGTTGTTAATTAATTAATTAAAAAGTATTACGTCGTTTTTCTCTAGAGCTCAATCAATAATCAGCTTCAACATTAACTATGCGACTTGTGCTAAATTTGCGCAAATAATCAGGTCTTAAATTGAGAACGTTGACCCTAATAAGCAGGATCCTAAATTTGGCTAACATCATGCTATCAAGGTATATAATTAATGAAGGTATTTTGTTGTAAATTCCTTACCCCAAATCGTCGACCTCAAAAAGCTGATTTATTTTAGGTTGAATATATCTTAGTATTTCCATGTAAAATAACTTCAATTAACCTGATTCTATGTCATGGTCAATATTTTTAGATTGGCTGATTTCCAACAAGTTTTTGTAAAGTCGCAATTTCGAACAAAGTAATTATTTTTTTATTATATTCCCGCATGGGGTGGACTTTAAAACTCTATTATTACGGAATCCTGTTGATATGTATAATTAGTTTACAAACTGAATAATCTAATGGCGAATTTTAATATCATAAAAGCGTATTCCTGTAAATTTTTCAGCTCGATTTTTCCGGTTTTGTTTAATTTAACACTCCAAGCTGCTATCTGCTTTGGAAGAATATCTTTATTAGAGAAGACTGGAACTTAATGGCATTGTTCGTTTTAACGAAGAAACTCATTTTAACTGCTCATACTTTTTTAACGCAACTGCAACTCTTTTATTAACGTGCAATATATTTGCAAGGGTGCCTTTTGCCTGCTTCTACTACTGCTTAATGTGCATCACTGCACTTTGCAAATCCCTCAAGTTACCCTAGAAAAACGCAGGTCAACGACTTATTAATAGTTTGCGGATTCCCTGTAGGAAGCATTATTACCAATACAGGGGCTGTGTAAAGTCAGTCCGCCCATCACGATGAAGTAATGGTATCCGATAATCTCATCGGCTTTGAAAATGGGGTGCATCAAAGCAAACCAATCGCAGAAGCCGGAAAGCGAATTTCTCAAGGAGGAAATTTTCTGGAAAACAGAACCGGAATAGTAAAATCCAAATATTAAGCTTTATATCGGTATGATCCCAGTTTAATTTTTTTAAACTGCATATTAAAACAACACCCTGTATACTCAGTGTCCCAGAGTATGTGGGCACGCTCTCGGATTTGTACAGGGGACGTTAAAAAAACATTACAACACTTTCTATAAAAAAATTTTCAGACGGTTTCCCTACGGAGACACAGGCCACTAAAGGAACCACCTGAGAATCGATTTTTTTTAAATAACTTTTAGAATACTTCATGCAATTTAATTATTTTTTATACAATCAACAGTACATCATAGCTCTTAAATAGGACCCATGAAAACATTTTTAACATTTTGGTTTGCCAGGGCTGGACTAGGTGGAGCACAATAATAGTTAGTTTTTTTTTACTCTTTTTACTCAATGAAGACACGAAAATAATGTATTTAGGTAGCTTTAACCTTAAACTAAAAAAAGGGACTCTTGATTCATATCGATAAACAATAAAACCGTTTTCGAGGAAAAAAAATTATTGAATTTGGATTTACTGAACAATTTTGTATGTAGGTTCAATATGAGCTCCTTCCAATCTTATGCACTCCATAGCTCGAAGAATTGTAGAATTGTTGCGTTCTCCACAATGCTCCAACATTGTTTTTTATTTGGCCGCAATGAAAATTAATGCTTTCTAATAAGTTTTCCTAGTGTCGGCAGGATTTGCAAACACTAAAGTTTTCAAATATCCCAAAAAAAATCTAAAAAGTTGAAATCTGACGATCGGTGAAGCCAAACCACGGGTATGATTCCATATTAATGTATGATTCCAGCTCATACATTAATAGATTGAAACTGTGTTCTCTTCTGCTCATAAATGCAAGTTATGGGAGTTTATGACTCCATTCTTAGAAAATCCATCTTCGGCCGTAAACATAACTGAACCGACTAAATTTACATTATTTTTGTGCATACGTAAAAGCCGGTTTGAAAATTTCATCCTTAATGGAAATGGAAAGTCTTCAGGAAGAAGTGCATGAACCTTTTGTAGATGATGAGGATGTAATTGCTCTTCCTTAACGATCCTAAAATCTGTAGATAATTTCCGGACACTTATTGAAGGATCTGCTTCTACCGCATTTAAAATATCTTCTTCAGCAACCGCATTGCGATTCACGTGGTTTCAACGATTGTGTTTGGCTTTGGCAAATGTTCCTCAAACTATTTACTATTTTATTGTTTTACCTACTCAAAAAGTACGATAATGCGATTAGAGGAATTTTTAATAACCTGTCGCTTTTTTTTCAAACTCTCTCAAAAGTTTTTCTATCCGGTAATCTTCGGTCTGCAAATCGTTCCGCGTAAAGTTTTTTTGGCTTCTACGGCATCACATGTTGTAAGTCCATACATTAAAAAATGGAATTTAAAAATAAGATAAATTTTAATAAGTTGCAAAAAGTAGCAAACTCTATAGATAAGTGATTAAATAATTGTTACCTTACTTTCGAATGTTAAAAGAACAACTAATAAATAACACACAGCCCACCAATGCGTAATGCACGCCGTATTCATTAAAATCCGTATTCATTAAAAATATTTTTTCCTCGAAAACCCTTCTGTCTATCGACATGAATCAAAAGTGTCTTTTGTTTAGTTTAAGGTTAAAGCTACCTAAATACATTATTTTTGCGTCTTCATCGTAAAGAAAATGTTTTTATGGGTCCTTTTTAAGAGTAATGATGTTGTTCATCTTGTTCATTGTATGAAAAAATAATTAAATAGCATGAAGTATTCTAAAAGTTATTTAAAAAAAAATGGATTCTCAGGTGGCTTCTTTAGAGGCCTGTATCTCCGTAGAGGGCTCTCTGGAATATTTTTGAAACTTGTTATATTTTTTTAAAGTTGCCTGTTCAAATCGGAGAGCATGCCCACATCTTCCGGGGCACCCTATATAGTTTAAGTGTGTCTATTAGACCAATGTGTTTCGGTAAATTCATCAAGTTGAATTGATTGACTGGAAAGTTGAGCCTGATGCGATGAAGATTTTTAAATTATTCTTGCAACTACATAAGAAGCCTAATGATTCAGTGGTTTTTCAAAATAAAAACTCGAATTCCTATTATGACCTACTTAAGAATTTTACAACTAGCACAAGTGCTATTGGTCATTGCACTGCACTGGTCTGCAGTATCGGGTGGATCGATCATGCAATACTCCAGTTTAGGCCTGAACTTGGTCCTGAAATCCCTTTTCCAGAGTGCGTTTGGGCGTATATTGACGGCAAAACTGTTTTGGTTTTTGCAAGGACGGTCATAAATAAATAAATACATGTGTGTTGCAATCATCTCTAAATGCCTTAACAGCAAACGATTATTTTCCAAATAGCGAAGGTATTAAAAACATTTATTCTTCTAGCCTTGTGTGGTTAAAGGACAGCTATTAAATCCCTTAGCTGTACAGTCTTCAGTATGTAAGCCCTTTTCTCTTTTATTAAATGTTAGTTTTGCAAATCAGTTAATTTCTAAATTAAACGTGGAACCAACTTTTTAAGGTCTCGAAACTCATAAATTAATTAAGTAAATATGTTTCTAATGAATAATGGCAATTGAAAAGTAATAAAAAAATACAATGAACAAGACAAAGCTTTTCGATTCGTCTAATGTTTTTTTGATAAGCCACGTTTATTAAGTGACTTTTTTGTTTGAATCATAATGTCAATAAGAATAAATGAAATGCTTGAGCTAAGTGGGTTATTTTTAATTTGATTAAATATTTAAATAACCTCATGTTTAATTGAGAAATTTATTATTCTGTTCTGTAATCTACCGAAATGTGTTTTATTTTCTTCTTTATTTCGAAAAGCTATTCTCTAATTCATAACAGATGTAAAAATTACACTGTAAATAACTGTCTGATAAGTTCTTGTCATTAAAATGAATTTAAGAAAAATGCATTTTTAATTATATTCTTTAAGTAAACGAGCTACAGCGTATTTAACATCCAGATAAATATATCTATATTATTTGCTATTGAAGAGTTCGACAACATAAAATAGTTTGGAAGCTTTAATCAATTAACTGATACCTGATAGAAAAATATCTAATGGCTTTAAACGAACGATTCCTCTGTCGATATCAAAAGCATTTAATCAGGTTCTACATCAAGTTTAATAATATGAATATTTTATGACACCTAAATATAATGCGAAAATGTTATAACACATTTTTATGGAAGCGTATAATTCAACTTTAAACAATTAAAAAACCCACTTGAAGCAATTTTCTGTCAGTTTTCAGTTCTCTTAAAATATTCGCTTTTCTCAAATGCGTAGTTCTCATACTTCTGAAGGAACGTCCGGTTTCTGAATTTATTTTAAGGTTCGTTCAAATAAGCTCACTGTTCGTATTGCTCGACATAATAATTCTGGTTCTTTATCAGTTAGTCAGCTATGGAAATGTTTAACTTTCACGTTTTTTTTTTAAACTATTAAAAATTCTGAAAACATTCCTTAAGTTAAATGTTAATGTATTGGATTATTCAAGCGGCAGATATGGATAATAAAATTATTATAAAATTTTAAATTATTTTCTAAGTCAAGAAATCAATGTCTTTGCGGATGTGTTTTCCAAAAGTTTATTATTTTTTTTGTCATCGCAACTAAGGGGTTGTTACTGCAGATATGTAGTAATAATATTTGTGAAGCTCTATTGTGTTTATTTTGCAAATTTCATTTAATGAAATATACGTAATTTTCATAATATGACATAATTGCAAAACGACAATTTTTGGAAAGACAAATTCCGGATCTCAAGAGTATTAATTTCATATAGAAATCAGCGATTATCTTCATTACCATTAAAACTTCTCCTGGAAGATAATCTTGTCGCTTTAAACAAACTCAAAATCAATTTAATGAGCTTCTACATAAAATTCTGTTTGCAAGTTCTAAAGTTATCTAAATTTTATCAGATAAAAGTTATTATAATTTATTTAGTTAAATATGCGAGATCTTATTGAAAGAATGTTTACGGAAAATCTGTATTTTTTCTATTACCTTAGTTTAAATGTACGCATTTTCTTTTTTGACGAACGTGCTCCATTTTGCACTATATTAATATCTGCATTGTAAAATTAAGGAAGAAAAACACAAAAATTGATCAAACCAAAACTGTGTATGATTAATAATATGAGCGTTCTATGATACTTAAATGTATTTCTAAAATGTCGTTTTATACATTCCGATAGTGTATTTCTCAGCTTTGAAAGACACTAGTTTTTATATTTTTCCATATTTTTCCGTCATTTTTTAGTTTTCACTATTTTTAAAAAATCTAGTTATCAATAATTTTTTTATCGATCGTCAGTTTTCCGAATAAATGTTGAAGAACTTTAAACCTATAAAATCTCCCTCTTTTATTGCTAATTTTATAATTTTACTACTTGTTCAGGTTAAAGGCAGGTTAAATCACTCAGTTTTGTTGTTTAATTTCTTCTCGACGTTTTTTGTATGGAAACTCATTTATAATTTTAGTCAATTTATTTCGAAAACCAAATTAGTTAAATATTTACGAAAGGCGCAGTTTTGCTTTAATCTAACATAAACATTTTCGAATTTTTAAAATTATCAAAGTTTGTGAAGTCAACCGCAAATTTAAATGTTAATTATTTATATGATTAATCAAGTCCCAGATATTATTACCAAAATTTCTTAATCAGTTTAAATGTGTCAAGTCAAGAAAATCGGTTTTCGGCTTTGTTTTTCAGAAGTCGAATTACTTTTCGTCATCGCAAATGTGCCTTTTCGGTGATGTCTTTAATTTCTTCGTTAAACTCATTAATTTACATTATATCTACATTATATTTGTACATGCCAAGAACTATGATTGAAATCCGCAGAGTTCCTAAAATGGAATTCGCGTAAAATATGCTTGATTGAGTTCTCGTATCTTCGCTTTTCATACTACTTATAACATATCACTAATGCTAGGAACAAAATAAAATAGATATTTATGAATCGCATACTCTGAGTAGACTAGGGCTTATTGAGTTCCCAATATCTCAACCCTTCGCAACTGACAGTATTTGAAAAAGTTTTTTGAAAAAATTTTAATGGTACGTTTTTAAATAATGTTTGAAATTACCTGCCAGCCCTGCAATAGTAGGCTTCTGTCCACCGTCCTCAGCCACATAACAGCATCGCCAGCTTGGAAATCTCTCAATTTATAGCATCTGTTATGCAGAAATATTCCTAAGCATTTCAACAATTCGGATGTTGAAGCTTGAATAATGTGCCTTCGTTTGGTGGCGACTTCAGGAACCACCTGATTTGATTCCCGTTGACTTGGCAAAGTTAGCTTATTGGAAAGTTTGTCACAATGAAGATTGTAGTTCGTATTATTCGCATTGTTCACTCTTACAATGTCTAGTGACGTTGACTTGGTGGTGCAAAAGTAAGGAGGCTTTTTCGAGTTTTGCTGTTGTTCGATATTTTTATTTTTGTTTTTATCTACCGTCAGGTCCAATGGTTGCATCAACACTGTGATGTTTTTGTTTTTCAAATTCTCCTGTTTCTTCTTGTTGTTGTTCGACGTTGAAAATCGCTTCCACGATAGCGCGTTTATAAATAACGAATGCTTTTTCAGATTTTTCTCCAACGCGTTTTTCTCCGATAGTATACGGGCGTTATCATTATTATTTATATTATTTCGAGTATGTGTGTTGGAATGGCTTAGGTTCGCCTTATTACTAGTCGAGTCTCTGTTGTTTTTGACATTATTCAGTTGTTCATAGGAAAAGTTGTTCAACGCGAAATCTCCGGTACTGCTAGTGCTGTATACTTGCCGTGACCTATCACGAGGCGAAAAGCTCAAAACGGTACCCATGGTGGTGTCGAACGAAACTCGAGCACCACTTTAAACTAGAACACTATTCACGCACTACGGCCTGACATCTTTAACGAAATATCCACCCTCCAAGAAAACTCAGGCCCTGGGAAATCTCTCCGACAGGGTCGATCGGACACTGCAACGAGCATGCCCATGGTTGCCGGGAAACGCAGTGATGTCATGGAAAATCAATAGGCAAAAACTACCCTTAGATGACAGGGGCGGTTCTCTTTTTTTGTCTTCTTTTCCATTACTTTTCCATTGGATGTCTGGCATTATTTATTTTGTTTGCTCTGGTTCAGAGCTATCCGGCACGTGTCCCACTGGAAACGATATGTTATCACTTTAGAGTTTCCCAGGTGGTGGATTTGTTTTCCTTATGTCAAGAGTCTTAGATATTTAACCAAGTTTCTCTATCTGTCTTAATGTACTACAGTGTAACTATCCAGTTCCCAGAGCGGAAACTGCCGGGAACTGTAGATAATCGAAAAACAATATGAGTTTGCATTATAAACCATATTCGAGACGCAAACACCCTGTCCTCTTCATGTTTCAAAGGGTGCAAAGTGTTTCAGTTTGGCTTAAACAATTACATTGATCAATTGTTTCCAAACGGATGCGGATAAACGAAATTTTGCAAGCGATAATAAATTTACAGATTTTAATAAAACCCATTTTTTTGTTTTGTCAGTGGCGTCCGTACGAACACGATAATGAAGATTTTTAAAGAAAAAAGCGGTACGCCACTGCTTTTTCATAAAATAAAAATCACTTTTATTCAGTTCGGATTATTCATTCAGTTCGGAAAGAAAACGTTTTCTTTTAATTTCTCTTATTCAAAATTAAACACCCTGCATTTCCAAAAAAAAACGCGTTTTTAATGCAAACTTATATTGTTTTTTGATACTCGTTCCCTGAACTTTCCGCTTTGAAAACTTGATCGCTCTGTGTATACAGAAGATTTGTTTTGCATTTCGGGTTGTAACTCAGACTTTTTTAGGATTTTATTGAAATCTGTTTTCACTGGAGTATCAGATCTTGTTTTTGCCTATAGCAAAATAGTTTTGTGATAAGTGGAGTCTTCCAACGTTTTTCTGACAAATCCTTTTTGTTGCTCCCCTATAACACAATAATAGAAAATTTCCCGCCTGTTTTTTTTTAATATTGCCTTGTTACAGGTTGCTTTAGAAACGTTTCCAAGCTCCTTGTGATCTTCTCTCCAGTCTCAATTTATCGTCCATTTATACTGATCAGGACTACATTTAAGCATTTCCGTACAAACATATATAACAGCAGAGTAGGGCAAAGACGTTTTAACAATAAATAAATTATATTATATAGTATAGTGTAGTATACTATATCGGGTGTCAATTTGGAAACTTCGCACCCTTAATATCTTTCTTGCAGTTGGAAATTTGAAAAATCGGAAAAACCCGTCAAATTATTTGTGATGAATATTTTTAGCCTCCTTGTTTCAACCCCCTAGGATGGGTAGATGTGACCCTTAGAATCTTAAATGGGAAGGGGTGTCAAGTGGCACATGGTTTTAAAGGGCGTTCCATTCTCTTTACATTAGTTACTACTTTGTTACTTTTTGTTCAGAGGATTTTGAATAATCGCGTTTCAAAGTTGTAGAAACAATTAAACTTGCGTAGATTCGGATGTTGGTTTGGCACAAAACCGATTGTATTGAATCTCCGTGTAATACAAAAGATTAGAAGAGCAGGTTACACTGTTAAAATCTTTGAATAACAGGAAGAAAATCTAGTTTAAACAATTGATTTCGGATTTATCGATTATTTTGCTTCGAGAAAAATCACTTTTTATTTACAAAAGCAATAGAGAAAGCTCTTCAGTAAAACCCAATTTGTTAAAACTATTGTCTATTTTCCTATAAACAATATAAAAGTCTATTTTCGAGCCCTCCCTAACAAGGAGATCAATTGAATGGCCTCCAAGATCACCGGATTGAACACCCTTAGACTTCTTTCTTTGGGGACATCTTAAATCCATTGTTTATAAAACACAACCTGCTGATATTGATGATCTTAAAATGCGAATTACAGCAGAATGCCGGTCAAATTCGCGGTAAAGTGTTCCGAAAAGTCAGAGAGGAGTTTGGAAACCGACTTTATTATTGTTTACAGCAAACTGGACATCGTTGTGTCGATGTAAAATAATCAATAAATAAAATCGAAATCAAAAATAAGGAATCAATGTATAAACTAGAGTTTTTCCTGTAGGGGTGGGAAGTTTTCAAATTGACACCCGGTATACGCCAAACGGAACAAAGGGAAACGGAAAATTCATATAAATTAATTCATATATTCCAAACATTCGAGGAAGCAACTTGAATAGAGGTTAAAACAAATTCTCTTTCCAATATATGATGGTCGGTGGTTCTCTCGCTCTCTTCAAAAATAATTTTTGTTGTTTTTTTTATTTTAATTTCTCCACTTTAGATTTTAACAGGAGCTTTTGTTTACTCGAATATGAGCAGCTGCACCTTATTTGAATTTGTTAAATTATTTGATAATTTTGACCAATTTTGGCTTGAAAATACATTTTTCTTCTTTTTCTGGCACTAATTTCCGCAACTCGCTGATGAAAAGAAAAATTGTGCAATTAAATTTGCAACTCTGGTTAGATTTTATAAGTAATTGAGTGGGTGGCAAATGTTCCTTAATTACATTTAGGAATGTTTTCCGGGCTTTGAAGCCGTGGTCTATCGGAATTTCTTCCTGACGTTTCGTCCACAACTGCGGTGGACATTTTCAA